TGGCCCGGCTACCACACTCACCAGACGAAACGCAGGAGCGTAATATTTCTACTTCACGCCGCTCTTATGTGAGGTCGTGGTACTAAACCGGACGGACCTGCCCATTCGTGCCACAGCGAACACTGTTGCGTGGTACATAACACATTGTGGCACTAGCGAATATATTCAACACCGTGTCGATTCAATATCCCATTCCAGACGAGAACCCCTTGAGGATACTCCTTGGAATCGCTTAACGTCTATTTGGATTGTAAAGACTCACGCCAGTATCGTGGAGACAGGTTACCCCAAAGCTTGCAGAAATGTTAGGCCACGCAAAAGTGGGCGGGTCCGTCCGACCTTGGTACTCAGACCCACTTTTTAATAGGATGTTGCAAATGTCAATGGGCGGCGCTTATATCTTTACATCAGGTGACGATTCACCTGCTCGCTAGCCACACATCTTTGTCCTCAATAAATTCATCGACATTATAATAGGCCCCTTCCATTAGGGGTAACTTTTACAAAATGTTTTGAATTCCAAAAAACAGTGAATAACGACAGCTCGCTACAGTTCCCGTGCAGCCAGCAAAACTCCGTCATAGTTTTATAAATGTACAGTCGCCGCATACTTAGCAATTATTTATAGGTATACGTAGCGGAACCGATAACACGGTTCCTGTGTAAATCAAAAGAAAAAAAATCAATTATTTCGTGAATCTAAACTATTCTCGAATCCACTTGAACACACCCAAAAAAGGTACTTATATTTGTATTTATATTTTGTGTGGTCGGATAGTTAGTCTCAACGACCACTGGGACCCAGAAGGTCTTATTGTATTCTTCCCATCGTAAATATTTCCCCCTTTACTGTAGGATAAAATTCTCTTTGTGTGAGGAAGTTTTACACACATAAATTTCACGTAGACGAACAACCAGATTAGAAAAAAAATATAGGTTACACAAGTGGGAATCTAACCCACGACCTCTGCGGCTAAGACTATAGTAACTGCGCCACGGAGTCATCACAACGTTGGGACATAACCTAAATACGGATAATTACCTCAGCGATGGACTACGCCTTATAGCGATGTCGCAAGTCATATTATCCCATGACGGTCGATTCGCGTGTCGCACGCAACGACTGGTCGACACCGGCTTTTATTTTAGCGATATTGCCGTAATATTCCAGACCTGAACTGACCCCACTAATTGTCTAACTACCATAATGGGTTCGAGGCTCCTTTGAAGCAAAACTTCGCATGCTTAAGCTGCAGCTGATATACCTAATTTGAACTTATAGCTCCATATACGAAACATATACGTATGATATCATCATATCATTATTCGTACATCTGGGTCTATGTACAACTTGTGCATGTCCAAAAGATGACTGATGACTCCGTGGCGCAATTGCCAAGGTATTGGCTTGTTCTTCGGGGCCATGGGTTCGATTCCCACACGAGACAACTATTTGTGTAACCCAAAGATAATTGTTTCGAATCTGGTTGTGAGTCCACGTGGTCGTTGGGACTTACTAACCAACTCCATCCACACACACAATCCTTACTAATATTATAAAGGCGAAAGTTTGTATGTATGGATGGATGTTTATTACTCTTTCACGCAAATACTAGTGAATGGATTTTAATGAAACTTTACAATAATATAGCTTATACATCAGAATAAGACATGGGCTATAATTTATATACATAATTTTATGTATATCTGTTTTTCTGTCTGAATGTTACGCCTTCAGCCTATTCTACGCAGACGTAGTCGCGGGCAGCAGTACAATATAATTGTCCAAAAGACAACGTCCTTCGACCTTGACAGTGATTAACAGCTTATTATCTACGTTTCATCGGTGTCCAGTCCATAATTTGACAGCAGAAGAGTAGTGTGGCCTCGTCCCAATGCAGATAATGTGAAACAGTTATCCAAGTATTTATGTGGGGGCCTGTAAATGAAGCCTCCATAGGTGCTGTCACTATGTTACACTTTACTGTATGACAGATACATGTGTTAACAGGAAAATTATCTATACACATTAAAATGTATCTATATATATAATTCTTCTGTTTGTACTCCTCATAGACGGCTCGATGGATTTTGATGAAATTTTCAATGTGTTCAAGTGGATTAGAGAATTGTTTAGATTCGCAATTCGGTCAGCTACGAAATCTTTTTTAATTATTTCTTAATTGTGGTTTATTCTTTTACTGTGGTAGGGCCACGCAACAGTGTTCGCTGTGCACGAATGAGCAGGTCAGTCCGGGGAAGTACCGCGACCTCACAGAAGACCGGCCTGAAGTAGAAGTGTTACACTTCTGCGTTTCGTCTGGTGAGTGAGGTAGCTGGGGCCCACTTTATTAAAAAGTGCCAACGCATCTGCAACTCTAAGGGTGTTGCAATAGTCCCTGGGCGGCGGATACCACTTAACATCACGAGAACCGCCAGCTTGTTTGCCACTTTCTCACATACCAAAAAAAAATTATAAGTTGTCGGATTTAAGGCGTGTACAGGTCAACGTTCGTGGCGTCCGCTAGTGAGCAAGCAGTAAGGTTAGAACCTATTGATTTCGTGTAATTTTCTACTTCGAAGCCTAGCTTCTCAATGAATAGCGACCCTTAAAGTTCGACTTACGAACGGTGCCGCATACACCGGGGCATTCGGCCAACACCGCATTGCGAAAGCGACGATAGTTCCGCGGAAAAACGAGAGTTTTAAATTCGGCAAACGGCCGATGTCGTTGGCAAGCACTAGAACTCAGCGGTCACAAGGCGAGACGCTAGACGAAATAGTTTCAATGAATCAATTTCTCCGTCCACCAAATAGCGAAGTTCGTAATCGATCGGCACTTTCTTTGGCGTGTGTTCAACGATCGAAATAAACGTAAGCGTAAACGAAATAAAGGAAATAAATACATATTTCGGGACATGTTTTACGCGTCATCTAGTCCCGGATCAAGCAAATCTTGTACTGTGGTTTCTGCTGTAAACAAATACATATTATAGATACATACCCATACAGACAGAAAAACGATATGTTCATCGCACAATATTATTCCAGTAGTGGGGATCTAAGCCACTGAATCTTCTGACGTAATTGTTCTTATCTATCTGTATATTAAAATACGTGTAGCAAAAACTTTGTTACACGTATAATACGGCCCCTTTTTACGAAAACTGCGCGGACGGAGGAGCATGAAATTTCCCACACTTATAGTTTATATAGTGAAGGAGTGCAGAATTTTAATATTTTTTTTTATCATATGCGTAATAAATACAATAAATCACTAAAAAAAATCTATATCTGTATATTATTTATAAGAGATTTCCACCAATAATTGACTCATCACGATATCTCTGGAACCATAAGGCGTAGAAACTTGAAAGTTAAGTAGGAATATTCATTTCGCCTAGTACAGGTCAGCTAAGAACGGATTTTACGAAATGTTATCTGTTGGGTCCGCTAGTATCTTTATATATGTTTATCAGTTAGTTAGGGTTAGTGTATCAGTTAGTGTTTCTTTTTTCTTTTATGTGAGAAGGTCGTAAACGAGCTGGCGGTTCACCTGGTGATAAATGATAACCGCCGCCGATAGACTTTGGAAACACCCGTAGGGCTGCAGATACGTTGGCACATTTATATAAAGTGGGCCACGGCTACCTCTCTCACCGGACGTGTTTATATAACACTTCTACTTCAGACCGGTCCTCTGTAAGGTCTTGGTACTTCACCGGACAGACCTGCCCATTCGTGCAAAAGCGACAACTGTTGCGTGGCCCTACCACATTAAGAATTTTTCCTTTTTCTTTCTCTTTTTTTTAAACAAAGCTCACTAATAAACTGCGTGCTAGATACTAAATTGACTTCATTATTTATACTTATCTGGAACTAGTAGACCTTCCAAATGTTATTGGAAAAATCTCGAAGAGCGCAAGCGAGTTGTTACTCCATCATAGAAAATAGCTCGCAGCCAATGACGTCACACATCCTTGCGCGGACTACACAATTCGCGTTACCTCATCTACACTAATTAAAACTTATCTTAAGGCATTCGACGCAATACCAGCCAGTAACTGCATTCCTGTCGAATCGCATATACAGCCTATTTCATAGCGAGCCTCTTTCGTATTTGTTCGAAAATGTAGTCTCCCTTGTTTCGTATACATATTCCATTTTAGTTTCACAATTTATTTTCTGTAGAGTCACTAAATTGATATAAACATAAATCTGTTTTCTTTCTCAATGTCATATCTCGTTATTTTTATCATATTCGTTCGGGATTCAATCTCCGATACGATACGGATTACGTTTCGAAACTTGATTTACATTCATACAATGTATTGCGTTGATGTTTTAATATTTTCACGGAATCAACGATACAGATACGGTGCGAGATAAACGGCCGGTGTTTAGGCGATGATGATTCATTTCGTAGTCGATTTCCACCGTCAAAGCTAATAGATCGCCGTTGTCCAAGTGCGTTTACGGTCGATAATGAAATAAAGCGTTATCGAAGCACCGATAAGACTATCGGCCTTCCTTACGTTTAGTCCCGCTCTAGCTACTTCAGCGTTCTGTTTACGTAAACTCGAGAAGTCGCCCGCGGAGTGACCCGAATTTTTTTAAGCCCCATTGACATGGTGCCAGTTTCTTGCCTGTTGTATACTATTAAATTGAAGCAATAAATGAGTTGCATGGTCTAAACAATTATTGCGCGCAATTTATTGCATTCAATTATTGCTCTTGTATGTTCAAGAAAATGGCATCGTGTAAATGGGCCTTTATATGCGCCCGTGTTCCAGCATTCGTCTAGTGCCTCGGTTTTCCCATCGTCAAACTCCGAGGGGTGATGCTGTGGTTTTGTTTTTCATATTTGCAAACGGCATGTGACAGTTCCGTGATGGCCAGGCGTTGCACAGATACAATATGACAATTACGTGATTGTGTATTTGACACCATGAGTGTAGTGTTCTCCTTTTTGTTTCTATAGTTTTGGCTAGTTGACGGATATGAAGCTGAAGAATCCCTTGGGACTGTTCGCATTGGGTACGTAATAAATACTTTGTCTGGTATCTACTGTGGCAGACTCGTCCGCGGAAGTACCGCGACCTCACCGAAGACCGGCGTGTAGTGGAAGTATTACACTTTCGCCTTTCGTTTTACGTTTTCGTCGATTTAGGGTTCCGTACCCAAAGGGTTTAAACGGACCCTATCACTGAGGCGCCGCTGTATGTCTGTCTGTCTCTCCCCAGGCTGTTACCGCTATAACAACAAATACTAAAAAACAGAGTAAAAAATATTTAAGTAAGTGCCATAAAACAGACATGATTTTTTTGCCGTTTCTATAGATAATGGGTACAGAACCCTTTGTGCGCGTCCGACTCGCACTTGGCCGGTTTTTTATGTTGGCAACGCATCTGGAACCCGTCCATTCCTCCATCCTATCTAGGTGTCTAACGTAAGGGTCAGTTGAGAAAGCGCCTTTCACACTTTAAACACCAACAGGTCCGCGATTAAAGGAATCATAATAACCTCTAATTGCGTATTGATGACGATAACGAAAATTGTTCTGTTCACGCCGTCTCTGATTGTTAATAAATTACACAGATAACATAACGCATATATTTTATATCTTCAACACTGCTGCATGTCAAGACGATCGTGTGTTGTAAAGACGTCTAAAATTAAAACCGGCCAAGTGCGAGTCGGACTCACGCACGAAGGGTTCCGTACATTATCTATAAAAATAGCAAAAAAAAAAATCAGGTCTGTTGTATTCAAACCTCACTTTATTTTTCTATTTTTTAATATTTGTTATTATAGCATCAGCTGTGAAAATTTCAACTATCTAACTATCACGGTGCATGAGATATAGCCTGGTGACGGTCGGACAGACAGACAAACAGACAGCTGAGTCTTGTTAATAGGGTCCCTTTTTACCCTTTGGGTACGGAACCCTAAAACAAACGCCCATATCTGAAACAGTATGTAGGTCATATCTTGTCCTTGATAGAATTCATACCCCGAAATGTATCGCTCAGTATCTGCCAATCATGTCTTAATATTAAACTACGTAGTGTTTGAATCTCTCTGGCCTGCAGCAACGGGTATACCCCTTTGGGGTATTTTACCTGCGAAAATGATGTCAATCTCGTGCCGATAGTGTAGCGGATGCTTAACGTGTTAAGCTATGGTGCTAACGAAACCACCGTCCATGCCGTAACGGATAAAAGTGAGCTTACATCAATTTGGAATAGCTGTTTCGGCGAACCTTCCTACTAGAAAGCTGGTTAGTGTTAGTAATTTAAGAAAAGTTATTGTTTAATTGGAAAAAAATGTGCAATGAATATCTAGTGTTCTCTAGTGTCTGGTCTATCTTTCTACATCTTCAATACGCTTTTATTTACGAAAGTAGAGTTTGTTTAAGTATGTTTATCAAGGTTTAAGTACGTTTATTAAAGGTTGCCTGGAAGAAATTACTTTTATAAGGCCGCCCACTGTTACCCATCACATCCCAAGTTTTTGATTAAGATTTATTTTTGGTGTGCAATTAAGTGTGATTACTTTTAGTAGCAAGGCCGCCCTTTTAGTAGTACCCATCACATCCCAAGTTATTGATTAAGATTTATTTTTGGTGTGCAATTTTGCTCATTCATTAATTTCATCACTTATCGGTTACAGCTTTGCTTAACTTGCACTAGATGGCATGTCCGGACATTTATATTTATTTTAATTATGGCTCCGTGGCGCAGTTGCCAAGGTATACTTCGGCTTCGGGGGTCGTGGGTTCGATTCCCACACGGGAAAAGTATTTGTGTGACCCACAGATAGTTATTTCACATCTGCATGTTTGTCTGCGTGAAACTTATATTTGTAAAACGTCCTTACAACACAGGATAATGTTATCCTAACGTAATGGCAATGTTAAAAAAAATAAAGCTATTTATTAACTTATGTTATACGGTCACAGAAAAACTTTGAATGCCATCGTAGGTAAACAAATTAGGCGAGTCATCGGCGTAGATTCGATGTCCGACGCATATCGTAACGCACAACCCTCAATACGTCACCGACTATAACTTATATCGTAACTTGTTATTTCGCAACTCCGTGACGTCATCTAAGTATAAATAGGTAAAGACAAAGACGCTTGTGTTTGTCAACAGATTTTTTTTTTTTTTTAATGTTAATTAGCTTCAGTTTTTTTTTCGAAACTGCCTTTTTCCCTTAACATGGGTCTTTTAGGGTCCATATAAATATGAATATCTGAGCTGTATTTACACATACCGCGCTGTTTTTTTTTTAAATTATCAAAGTGCAACTGCAGAATTCTCAAGCTTGTTTTTTAAGTCTAATAAAAAATTCTACCCTTTATGTTACTTTCCATATGGATGATACATTGAATTCATTATGCCTACATTCGTTTTATGGACGGCTATAATAGGTATGTCATACTAACATGACTTACACGAACATAGCTCAATCTGTTGTCACTAATTGCACCTGTCAAGGATTGTCGATTGACCTTATACTATACTACTTACATGACTCTGTAATATTATATTCTAGAAAGATGCTGTTTGTACCTTCCAATTTAGAATACAAGTCTGTACTTAAACAGAGACAACCTGTGTTTACATATGACCTATTTGATAGATTGAAATTAAAAAAAAACGAACGAAAAGTTCTTCTCTCTTTCGAATTGTTTTTTTTATATGAGAAGGTGGCAAGCGAACAAGCGGTTCACCTGATGTTAAGTGATAACCGCCGCCGATGGACATTTGCAACACCCGTACGGTTGCAGATGCGTTGCCACATTTTAATAAACTAGGCCGCGGCAACCACGCTCATCAGACGAAACGCAGTTGTGTAGCACTTTTCCTTCACGCCTTTCTTCTGTGAGGTCGTGGTACTTCCCCGGACGGACCTGCCCATTCGTGCAACGGCGAAGACTGTCGCGTGGCCCTGCCACCGTGTCGTATAAGGGCATACTATAGAAAAGTCATGTTCACGCGTGGCCTCTTTTCCGTGTTGCAGGCGAGTTAAGATGGATGCTGGGGGGCTGTAGTGGCAGAGCGATGTCGAACCAGGCGGGTATGAAACATGTGCCGACGGAGCCGGCACAGCTGGAGAACAAACGTAAGCGTAACCCTCGGACTAACGCACACAAACTCATACACAAACACACGTACACGCGTGTGTCTGAAGTCACCAACTTTGAAGCGGAATATTTTCGATAGCCCTGTACGCAAATAATTTTAATTTATTTAGTCGCCTAAAGAGCATACAGTAACGAAAATATAAGCGATGTCCAAAGCTTTTGGCAAAAAAGCAAACGTAGAAAATTGAATTTCGCTGGGCATCTGAAAATGTTTATCTCAATGATATCTCCGTCAAAGCAAGTTCAAATAATCTAGGCTAGAATACAGTTTATCTCAGGTCGCCTTTCGCTCAATAATTTCCATTCGCCCTTGAGGATTTAAGGTACCGGATTTTTGGAAATATACTCGAAATTTCTGTCTGTCAGAACTTTAAAGACCCTTTATTAAAACACGTGGACGGCCGAAAATTGGTACCGTGAGAGCTCAGTGTTCGGGCGGTTACTTTTTTACTCAATATACTCGAGCAACCTTACTACGAATCCATTCGTCGGTGACGACACCAATGAAATAGTTAATAGCAAATTTTAAATGCTGACTCATCACGTTCTCTACGGCGAAGGAAACCTGTATATTTTCGAATTTCGAATTAATAATAAAAAAAATATTTCAAAAGTATGTGAAGTTTGCCAATCCGCAGTGGGGGATCGCGTGTTGGACTAGACCCTTTGTCGACCTGTGGGACATATAATTATAGGCTGTTACTTTACTTTAGGAGCATTACGAACCCTGGATCAGGAGCAGGGTCCATGATAGCGAGATTTAAACGAGGCGTTTGCGTAGAAATGAATCATCATACCTCTGACACCTCCTCAGACAGAGGTCGATTATATAACGTCACAATTCTTAGCACCGCTCTAACCTTGCCAGCCAAAACCGGCAATTTTCCTGAAGGAAAATCCTTTATCGCAGCATTGATACTTAAGCTATAGGATAAAAGTTACAGCCATTATATGTCACAGTGCTGGGCCAAGGACAAAGGATATTAGGGCATGTTACACCATGCAACCCTTTTTTTTTTGTTTACGGGGCGGAAATGGTATACGTAGGATACCCGCCCTCGCGGGGGCAACAGCGGGTTATGTCGGACTCGCAGCGACTAAAACCACCACGATGTTCCACCTAGGCGCATATCGGCAGGGCGACGGCTTTCGCATGCTTCTGCGACCCTGCCAGATGCAACCCCACTTCGTTTTTCGATTATTACTATTTTGACATGTTTCCATATATCGGTTCCGCGATAAATCAGCAGTTAAGATTGCAAATCTTCATTGATACCAACGTCGGGATTTGAACTTAGTTCGGTCGAGTTTACTAAGTTAAAAGCGAGCACCTGGGCACTGAGCTATTACGTTATTTCGTAGTGGTATCTCTGTCACACATTCTGTCTCTCTGTCGCTTCGTGCGACTTCTCGCTTTACAGCCAACCACGGTCACAGATTGAACTCAGGCCGAATGAATAGTATATGGTGGTCTGACTTAAATACGACATTAGGCAAACATAATACGCCTTAGTCTATCTTATAATGTAAAGTGACTGCGATAAAATTCGGCACATTATTTCCGTTTAACATGGTCTATAAATAATACTGCCCATAATACTATGAATCTCTTTTTCGACTATTTGACTCGCTTATATCACGTATTATAATTTACGCGAATACTGAGATAACTGATAGGGATTACCAACAGTATATAAAGTTACTAGCGGACCCTACAGACGTCCTGTACGCGTCTTAAATCCGACAACTAATAAATAAAAAAAACATTTTAAGTGGACCGAATTGTGAATTTAATTGAAACACACAAATCAGACCAGCCGTTTCGGAGGAGTTCAGTCACATACAAACGCACAGAAGTATTATATATATAAAGATTTTTGCAGTACTTCTATTACGAATGGCACCGAATAAATAACAAAAGCAGTATCTGAATTAAAGATACGTGTTCAGGCCGTACTTGATCAACTTTATCAAAGTACGATTCGTCTACGCGCGTAACATACTCAATTAGTATCGTCCGCTCGGATTCGCCTCGTCCATTACTTTTCCTCGTTTATTTATCGGTTTCATGGCATTTTGCCAATATGTGACCTCCGTTGGGCTCCGTGGCGATTAGTCATTCACGCATCAGGGGCTTTAAGCGTTAGAAATATTTGATAAATAGCAAAGTCTAATGATTGGATACTGTGGTAGGGTCTCGCGACAGTCTTCGCAGTTGCAAGAATGGGCAGCTTATCCGAAAACTACCAAGACGTCTAAAAATAGATTATCTAAGTATTAGAATGTCATTTACTGACAATATGTTCCAATTAAAGAGTGAGGTATTGTGAATTTTATCGTTCGTATTATCAACGCAAACACTAGTTTTGTTTTGTTACTTAATACGATACAAAAAAAATATCCTGAATTATGAACGTACATACAATATGTATGCAAGTTCATTATTCAGGATAATTTTAAATCAGTGTATTATGAAGATACATACACAATCAATGGATAAATGCAAAATTAACCATGAAATTTCGTAAGCTACCTTGAAAGTATACAGCGTGTCTTTACAATGACGGAAATAAATGAACATACATATAGAGGATAACTTTTAAAATTGTATTAAACATTTACATTCTTTAAACATCAATATTTACCGAGTTATAAAATTTTCCAAAACAAAGATTTGTAGAACATCCTTACGGATAAAACTGTAAACGTAAAGTTCATAAATGTAAAGGTCACAAACCATATGAATGGGTTGAATGAATTTAAAAGAGACAAAACATACTGTTAGAAGGAGAGGCTTGTAATGCGACGCTATGGCAACGAATGAAAAAGTCGCTGAATGTATGAATCAGTCAGTTGTAGTTGTATAGGATATTACAAATTTTGTTTCTATTTACTTAATTAGTTTTTTTTAATTATGGATTTTTTAACTAATTATTTTTTTATGATTATTGGAATGTAGCGTTAGACGTGTGTTCATTTATTGTCGCGGTTGTAAAGACACGCTGTATATAAAATAGGCGTAAATTGAAGTAGTAAAGGCTTATTACCTATATACAGCAGGCAAAGGCAGTCTTTATAGACCCCTCTACGGATTGGCGGACTTTACATATCTTAGATATATTTTCTTGGTTATTATTTCGAAGATATGCATATTTCCTCACGATGTTTTCCTTTACCGCTGGGCTCATGGCTATTTTAGTCAGTTTTTATAAATTGATTGACTTAAGGCTTAGAGTAAAGTAAAGTATCAGCCTATACATGTCCCACTGCTGGGCAAAGGCCTCCTCTGTACAGAGGGTAACAGGGTATACCACCACGCAGCCACCACGCGGCCCCACTGCGGATTGGCGGACTTCACATATTATCTTCGAAATATTTTTCTTTTATTATTATTTCTAAAATATTCAGTTTTCCTCACGATGTTTTCCTTCACCGCCGGCACCGGGGATCGAACTCTGTTTGCTCGAGTATATTGAATTAAAGGCGAGCGCCCGGACGCCGAGCTATCATGGCTCCTTAAGGCTTGCCTTTGGACAATCTGCCAGTGGTGAGCTTGGTTTTGTCCACTGTGCAGGGTCACGTCGCCGTGCCGGCGGCAGGGCTGCGGCACTGCGCCGGGCCCCCTCGGACTCGGATTGCTCCGGGGAGACCGCCTCCCTGTCGGCGGACAGCGCGGAGCGCGCCCCCAGGGCTCCGCCGGTGCCCACCAGGCAGACGAAGTCGCGAAGGTAGGTGTCATGGAGTTACTGTCTTGGTTCCTTTTAGTTGTACAGTTTTGGACTTAGTGCTAATACAAGTAGTGCCTTCATCCGATGTTCATAAGTGATTCATGTACACCTCCCGCTGCTCTCTTCTTTATGTCTCATTAGCAAATATTCTTTTCGCAATGGTTGTCTGGAAGAAATCGCTTTCTGAGCGATAAGACCGCCTATTGTACTCCCTTTTATATTCATTTGTAATTTGCTTTTTATATATTTTTTATTTTTGGTGTACAATAAAGTATAAATAAATAAATAATAATGTTACAAATAACTACATTAGATCAATAGCATCCGTCGCCGAACTAGGTTTTGAGAACCTGTACTTACCTTATATGGCTCGGGAATCTTGTTCGTCGAAACGTATGTCACTCGTAGACGTCAACCCATGTTTACGTGCGGTAAAGGTCTTAACAAGAAATTATCACATGGACAAGGTTCAATTGAAGGATCAACACCCAATATTTTGTACTAAGCATTCACGAAAAGATTAACTGTAGTAGGGCCACGGTGTTGCACGAATGGGCAGGTCCGTCCGGGTGTTATACTTCTGCTGTTCGTCTGGTCAGAGATGTAGCCGGGACCCACTTATTTAAAAGGTGGCAACGCATCTACAAGCCTACGGATGTTGCAAATGTCCGTGGGCATTTATCACATAACATCAGGTGAATCGCCAGTTTGTTTGGCACCTTCTTACACAAAAATAAATTTAAACATTTGTTAAATAAATTTAAAAATGGAAACAGTTTACCACAAAATTCCCGATAATTATTAGTATTTACCCTTCTATTTCATTTTTTTAGCAGTCGGAGGCGCGGCAGTGAGTGGGAGGTGCTGGAAGGTCTGAAGGACGGCCAGCGATTCGAGAAGAGACCTGAGGTTTTCAACGGCTACCTGCACAAGAAGAGAAAATGGCCGCTCAAGGGCTGGCACAAGGTACTGATGCGTCCAACCCCCTTAAATCACTCAAGTATTGACAAAGTGATGTTTATAACCGACTTCACGGTGGTAGGGCCACGCAGCAGCCTTGGCTGTTGCACGAATGGGCAGGCTCGTCCTGTTAAGTACCACGACCTCACAGAAGACCGGCGTAAAGTAGGAAGTATGACAAATACTTTCGCTAAAATTAAAATATGTAGAAAAAGCGCGAAAAGATTGTCGCCGATGTGGGAATCGAACCCACGTCTTCGGCATTCGCGGCCTGACGCTCTAGCCACTGAGCTAAACGGCTGATTGCCACACCGACGAAAATCTTAACGCATTCTTCCACATTGTTTTCTTAGCATTTGAAGCAATGCTTGGCGCCATGAAATGGCGCCGTGCAAAGATTAGCATTATAAACAATTTAAAATTTATAAAAAAAAAAATATACTTTCGCGTTTCGTCTGGTGAGTGAGGTAGCCGGAGCCCAATTTTTAAAAGGTTGTCAACGCATCTGTAACCCTCGGGTGTGGCAGATGTCCATGGGCGGCGGTATTCACTTAACATCAGGTGAACCGTCTGCTCGTTTGACAACTTTTCACATAAAATAAAAAAAAATACTTCAAATAAATTACGAATTTATTGTTACTATTGATTTTATATTTGACGCATTATGACGATTATGCACATGTATTTTTGAGTGCAAAAATTGCTTTTTTATTATCAATTCCATATAGACTTCTGTTCGCGACAGTACGACTTTTATCGCTTTGTATCATATTGACTTCCGTACTCAAGCCATTTCGTCATGCAATTACCGACTTTTGCACGCGACCGTAGCAACTTTTTTATCAATTTCTTACCGCCTTCTTCCCGCTAAAGTCGCGACTTTCGTTCATTGGGTACCTTCCGCACCCAGCAGTAGCGACCTTCGTTCGAGTTCTCATCGACCTTTAGCACGCGACAGTAGCGACTCTCGTTCAGTTTTTACCGACTTAACTGGCAGTAGCGGCTCGTTAGTCGTTCTGTACCGACTTCTGCACGTGACAGTCGCGACTTTCGTTGAGCTCTTACCGACTTGTGCACGCGACTGCGGTGACTTCCGACGGTTTCTTATTGACTTGTGTGCGCGACCGCACCTTAGGGATGTCGAAAATCGATATATCAATATTTCAGATTAAATATATCGATATTTTCAGCCAATATATTTGGATGCAATATATTTATATATCGATACAAAATACTCATTATCGAAAATCGTATAAAAACGACATTTTCTCTAATTCGAATCTGGCACAGAGTCTGTAGGTGTCAAATGTTTACTTTGTTTATGTTTACTTGACATACTTTTTTTTTTTGACGACGTGGTTCCTATAACCTAAAGAGTCCTGTGTAGTTCGGGGCTCATAGAATAGGACTAAGGTATCTCCTGCCTGTCGTAAAAGGCGACTAAAAGGGGACACGGATTGACAGCAGCCCGAAGTGGCCTCGAGCTGCTGCAAGATGGCGAGGCAATCGGGGAAGGTCTATCCTTCTCCGAGGCGTGCTCACGCCCAGTACCGAGGGACACCGGTGCGTTCCTCAGGAGATCCCGGGGTCCCTCCAAAGGTACAGAAGGTGGCCACCGAGGGGGTTTTAGTGGGTAAGAACCCCACATAACCCGTTATCTTTTTAAAAAGATCCCCCCCCCCCCCCCCCCAGCGCTTCTTCGTGGTGGACGGCGGCATCCTGGTGTACGCGCGCTCGCCGTCGGACGTGGCGCGCGGGCGGCTGCACGGCTCCGTGGACGTGGGCCTCTCGGTGATCTCGGCGAAGGCGCGCCGCCGGCGGGTGGACATCGACGCGGACGAGTTCATCTACCACCTGCGCGCGAAGACGCCGGACGCCTTCAGGACCTGGCTCAACGTGCTCAAGGCGCACCGGTCAGTGGCGCGCCTCTCTCTGTCCCACTCTCTCGCCCAATCGCCCGCACCCCCCCTCAATCTCCCTCTTCCTCTCCCTCTCCCTCTCTCTCTCTCGCATTTCTTTATTCAATGTAGAAGTATTACACTTACTTATTCATGGTCAAAACGCTACCGCCGGCTCGGAAAAGGACAGCCACCAACCTTAGAAGAACCGGCGAAAGAAGAAAAGAAGAAAATCAACACTATATAAACTTTAAATTTGTTTTATTGTGCTAATCTCTGCACATAACTTTTCGCTCAACACTTTTCTACAAATTTTAATAATGCAACACTATTAAATTTGTAGAAAAAGTACGAAGATTCCCACAGCGGCGACAATCTTTTTGTACTTTTATATAGCATTAATGCTAAATAACAATGTAAATAAAAGGCGTTAAGATTTTCGTCGGTGTGGCAATCAGCCGTTTAGCTCAGTGGCTAGAGCGTCAGGCCGCGAATGCCGAAGACGTGGGTTCGATTCCCACAGCGGTGACAATCTTTTCGTACTTTTTCTACAAATTTAATGTTCAATCTTAAGTGCAGAGATTACCACTATAAAAAAATTAAATCCAGCACTAGTTTTTCTAACCCAATTCTCAGGCTGTACCGCCAGCACCTGCTGACGTTCGGAGCAAGGGAGTCCGTGCCGAAGATCCACGCGCCCTCAGAGGACCATCAGCCCCCTGAAACGTCTTCGCGTAAGTGGAGATTCATCACAAACGCTCCCAGTTTGTTTCGTAGCGAATTTCGACCTTATCCCGTCGGTTTAAATGCTATCAGCATGCGTGTGAATGTCAATAGTATCCCATAGAGTTATTTTCTTAGTTATTTATTGTTATTTCCTTAGAATCGTTCTCCGCTCAATACCCTGTTACTTGAATAAATACAAAATTGTATTGTAGGATAACATATGTCGCGTCGAATCGATTACTCTCGCCTCTGTCTGAAAGCTGGGTCGGAACGGATTTGTGTATTATAACGTTTATGGCCTAATCTAAATAATTTCTTATTTACAATGGAAATCGACCTTTAAAAAAATATTTCAATTTTTATACAAATAAAAAAATATTTTACTAAAATAAATACTGCATCGCGGGAAGCTGTACACAAACAAAGAAAAAAAAATCTATGGAGTACACAGATCAAACCCATAATATATATTTCTAATATTATAAAGTCACACTATGTTAATCCGCGGTGGGGTCGCGTGGTGGACTTTGCCCCAATACCCACACAGAGGAGGCCCAGCCGTGGCCCTTATTCTAGGCCGATTACTATACTTTTATTTTGTACATTAACACGAAGTTTTTGCAAACCGCAGAATCTATATCGAGAACGGAAAGTTCCGTCGGTGGCAAATATATCGATTCGCAATCCACTTGGCCCTCGTCCATCATGCCACCTTCCTCCCCTACAACCCAACGCCGAAATTCACCCAAAGCTTATCCACACAAAAATCTCCAACGAGACGATATTGCACCGCTCAAAACGTTGAAACGACGCGAAAAATCTCCAAATATACTGGTACATAAGCACGGGAGCCTCTGCTCGATGAACTGCTTAGCGAGAGCAATGGACTGCAAAAAGAGACACGAGAACAACAATTTTAACCCTATCGTCCCAAAAGCGAACGGCAGAGAAGAAATGGTCCCGCACAGCACCAACTTAGACGTTAGAACCGGCTCGACTTGTTTGGAGTCGTTATTGTGCGCCCACTCGCTGAACTCCGAACGGCGGATTCCGAAAAACACTGAGCCAGAAAGAGACAGAGCTATGAGACAGACGAGGAGCGACGAGAAACGCGCGCTCGGCGTCGGCAACGCCGCGGTGACGCAAACGGAACCGGTCGTCTACTGTTTCACGCACAAGCCCCGATCGAAGACCACGAACACCGATCAGCCCCAGCTGAAGCGCAGCCGCAAATCGACCAACATGGTCAAGTACCGGAACTCGAGCATCGAGCCGCGGCTCAGGAAGCCGCTGAGCAAGTGCATGCTGCTCGGCAAATACAAGCTCAAGGTGTCGCGCCATTCGGACGCGATGCCCGCTAGTGTTGTACGCGCAACGAAGAGCAATGAACTGGCCAAGTGCGATAAGAAAGGGAAACGGTTGGGGGAAGTCGGCACCGACGTCGACCGGGTGACCGACAAGCTGATCGAGACCGTGTTCGAGAGCTACAGGAAGACAGACAGACGCAGCTGCGAGGACCACCTGAGGAGCTTCATCGACCAGGTCGTCACGGAGCTGTACTGCTTCAGTTGCCAGCAGAGCGCCGACCACCCGGTGAAGGCGCTCTTCAAATGCCTCCTCGAGTACTGGATAAGGAACGCGTCGTTCGAAAGCTTAGGCGGGCGGGTCAAGGAGGTGAACAAACACTCCACCAGGGACCAGAACACCTCCAGCCTGTGCGTCCACAACTTCAGCAAGGGGACCCAGTTCGAGGAGTACTTTGACGCGTTGAGCAAGAGGAAATCGAAGCAGTCGATCGAGACCTCGCTCCTGATGCGGAGTGGGCTGGTCGGCGCGGATAGCTCCGACAGGGAGCGGCGAATCCAGGAGCTGGAGAGGATACTAAATAACACCGTGTACTACTGCGAGAACGCCAACACGGCCAAGAGTCGAGAGAACGATATAAGGATTACCAAGGCACTAATCGAAAATATCGGCAAGAAGTCGCTAACAGACACTCCTTCGCATAAACTTTTGGATCACAAAATCCCATCTGAACTGCCAAAATTACAGAAGACCATCGATAATTTCCTCGACGAAGCCTCCATCCCGCCGGATATGGCGAAAGACATTTTAAGCGCGTATTTAAACATTCTAACGGAAGCTAGCGGGAACGACGCTTCTCGCAGTCTATCGCCTAAGTTCGTGGAAGAAAGCCCCCAAAAATATGAAGCGAAAACGGAATGCGTGCACAAGAAAGTATCCAGATGCGTTATGACACAAAAATGCGACGAAAATAAACAGCCGGTACAAAACACTGAGGCCGTTGCAGATTCCGGTCGGATTTATCTAAACGACATACTGAACAAAATAACAACCGAACCGGACAATGTATATTTGAGGTCGAACAGTAAAGTTAAAAGAATAACAAACACCGTTCACAAGTATAGGCGCATCGTAAAAGAGAAGTCGGAAACATCGGCAGAGAAAACCTCCAAAGGGAATCCAAAAGAAACTTATAAAAGGAACAATGTGGTAATTTACCTCTCGAAATATAACCTTGATCGTATATCGTCAACGAAACATCCTTTGATGAATAAAATTATGTCAGTCTCGATAAACATCGAATCAAAATCGTCCAAGTTCGAGGGGGAGGCGTCAAAGGTTGACTTGAAATGGACAGACAAAGGGATGAATCAATATCAATATGGGCGAGTACCTGACATTTGGCAATCCAACATAAACAAACGCATGTCGGATTCCGAAGAAATTTTCAGGAGCGTCTATGGTCCATCCGGTAGCCGGATCGCGAATAACTACCTAGATTTCTATTGGGACGAGCCAACCGAAAACATCAACATCAAACCATTCTTCAGCAGCGGAGCGACGTCGAAAATATGCTTGACTGATTTGCACAATAGTGAATTTCGTATTCTTACTGTAAATAATAGTAACCCGACCGGTAGAAATGCTAATGCAGTAAGAAAATCATGCAAGTTACTTCATGATCCACAATATGAAGGTTCACCTATAAAAGAAACAATCCCTCATAATAAATATTTACAAGACATTGCTAAATCGTCGAAAGCACACATAATTCCGCCTCCACTCGATGATAATAAACCAGTGCCTCAAGAAGATGGAATTCCCCAAGGTTTTAATGAACAACTTATCGTTTTGCTACTTAATAATTTAGCCACAGTATACGAATGCATTCCCGCGCTACATAGAGACGTATATATTTTATACCGAAAACTGTTCAAGGAGTTTGGGCAATCTGTGAAATCCTTTGAAGAATTTGACTCTTTTACAAACGAAGTTGGTATTCAATGTACAGATTTGATACGTAACGTGAAATCAAAATCTGCCGACGCTGAAACAAATACAATAAACTTCTCGACTCTATTAAAAAACAACATACGCATTTACGAGAAGACACAAATCAGCCTTTCTCCAATGAAACAAGTAACGCATGTGGCACTTCAGACCGAAGAAGAAAATCGTATGGAACATGCAAAATATACATCGAGTAAAAGCGTTTCCAATCAAAATTGCTATAGGCAGCTATGCACCCGAGACATTTCCATCAACACCGCAATAAAACTCAAAGAGTTCGGACGCACCAATCGAATAGGCGTCCCGTTCGCTATTAAAAGGAAATCGCCAATTAGAAACGTTTCTAAACCATGTGGTGCATTGAAAAATTCAATTCCCAGACGGAACATCGTCAGACAATTGCCAATACTGGCGTACTCTCCGAAATCGTACGTCATAAACAACTCGCTGTTGTTAAAGGATAAGCTATCGAAAGACTACAATGTCTACCAGTTGTTCCTAAGCAACAAATTCGCGGTCAAAGGTTCAAGCTCGCTGATAGACAATAGGGCTAAACTCCGAAGTAGTGGAGATTTGAAAACACTGTACCGTTGCTCCAGCGATCGGTCATTCTTTTCTGGTTAGTAAAGGTGCGTAACTTGCATTACCTTCATCGTATAGAATGTCCGAAATTAAATTTATTATTCAAATTAGGAATATTCTTACGTAAGTAAATTATGTAGATCTCATTTAATGATCTATGTGTTGCTGTAGCATATTTTTTTTTTTGTGACTAGTAAGTAGTAATTTTAGATAACTCAATTTTACTCCATCCGTATGTGGTTTGGAATTTATCTGTGTAATTAGTGTATTTTGACGTAGATGTGTCTCTTGTATTTTATCTAATAAAGCAACCTCATTATTTTATGCATTAAAAATCAATCGTATCGAGTATCCACTGGCTTTTTTTTTTTCTTTTAATCAGGTTGTTTTAACAATAAAATTTGTAGAAAAAAAAAGTAACATTTGTAGATTGTTTTAAATTATGTTGGCGGTGAAATCAAGACATTGTATACAAAATCAGATCACCTACCTCCCTTCTCTCCAACACTAGCGTAGCCTTTTCGGCTAAGTCATTTGAAATGTTTATCCTTAACTATAGAAACCTCTTTTTAATTATTTCATTTTAATGTATCCAACTTAAAAAAAAACTTTACGTTAAAATTTGTAAAAAACAGATTGATAGCATCAGGCCGCGAATGCCGAAGACGTGGGTTCGATTCCCACAGCGACGACAATCTTTTCGTACTTTTTCTACAAATTTTAAAGTTCAATGTTAAGTGCAGAGATTAGCACTATAAAAGATTTAAATTTCTAAGATTGATAATAGATTGACACTGTAAGAATTTTAACCTCTACTTTCTCTTTCTCATATTTTTCCATTCTGTCCTCCAACCTGTATCTCCACTCCTGCTCAAAATTAATCGCGTCCATTCCCCTCGGGATCTGCTTATCTGGCCTTTTGTAAAAGACATTGGATTATAAAAAAAAATTGAAAGCACCATTGCGATCACATTTCACCGCCAATATCAACACGGCCTTCCCTTCCAGGGCTTGTTAGCCCCGCGGGGGCGCCGCTGAGGGGCCCGCAGGCCGGCTTTGTGTCGGGAACGCCCGGCGGCCGATTGGCTGGCTGGATCATAGGTATGGCTATGGACCACATAAGAGGGGAGGTTAGCTTATGGGTTCTTATTCTCTGCTTCCTCTTTGGTCTACTCAGCGTCGACGCACGTAGCTCTTCTCAAGAAGAGGTGCTGGGAACTTAACCAAAAAGTATAATGATAAAGTTTAGATGTCAAAATGAAATAGAAAAATAATAGGTCAGATCTGTTTATTTTATCGTAATTGAATAGACTTGTACTAATGAACTATAAAAACTGCTAGCCACCAATTATTGTTTCTCTACTGTTGGGTGTTTCGTCAATTGCATGTAGTCCCTCTTTGTTTCTAGCCCCTCTTTGTTTCTAGCCCCTCTTTGTTTCATCTGTGTCTCAAAATTTAGACTGCCTGACTAGACTAGACTGACTTACAATTTCTTTTTTATCAGGTGTAGGTTAGAGAGGAACAGGTTATTTCGATGGGATAAAAATTCCAGAAACGTTAGAAAACAAGCTTCTTATAATTCATCCAAATTATCTTCAAAACAATTCGATAGCAATTACAATTAGAGCTGGCGGTTCACCTGATGTTAAATGATGTTTGCCGCCTTTGGACACTGCAACACAGGTTACAGATCCTTTGCCTAATAATCGCTTCCTAATAAAGTGGGCCCCTGCTAACTCACTCATCAGACGAAACGCAGAACTATACAACTTCCACTTTACACCGGTCTTCTGTGAGATTGTGGTACTTTCCCGGACCTGCCCATTCGTGCAACAGTTAACTTGCGTGGACCTACCACGGTTTAGCAATGTTATGATGCCAGTCACGTATTCAGAGGTGCCAGGAGATAACCGGCATCGCCAAAATGTCGTTTTTTTTATTTGAAAAGTTGCCAAGCGAGCAGACGGTACACCTGATGTTAAGTGAATACCGTCGCCCATGGACATCTACTACACCCGAGGGTTCCAAATGCGTTGACAACCTTTTGAAAATTGGGCTCCGGCCACCTCACTCACCAGACGAAACCCGAAAGTATTATACTTCCACTTGACGCCGGTCTTCTATGAGGTCGTGATACTTACCCGGACGAGCCTGCCCATTCGTGCAACAGCTGAGGCTGCTAATTGGCCCAGACACTTATAGTGTCCTATATCACACCCTCGTTTCCGACGCAGATTCGGGAGGCCCGCTGGAGAGCGCGTCCCGCGATCTAGGCCAGGCGCAGCTGTCCGTTCAGCAGCTTCAGCGCTTGCTCGACGCTCTGGAGATGCAGCAAGTGCATCATGACACCGATGTGAGTAGCGCTGCACTGCCACTTCTGCAGCCATCTAGCCTAAGACGTTACGGGCTCTTTATTGTGTTCAACCTTAAAGTTTGCTGAGAAGAGATGGTTCGCCTAATTCGTTACCGCCGCACGGACGTCTACTTCCAGATCAATAGTAGAGCCCCGCCGAGTCGTGGAGGATAGGGAGAGTGGCCCATCGTTATGCCAGCACTACTCTTCAACTCTTCTCTACTTCTCTACTACTCTACACTACTCTTTTCAGATGAAATGTCTTCGCTGCAAAAAAAAGTGATGAGAAGAGTTCTATATTGGATATAGATGCCTTCAAAATGAGCGTATAAACCCCGATTACCTTACTCGTCAAGCAAACCGCGAAAGTTTTATACTTCCACTTCACGTCGGTCTTCTGTGCCTGGTAGTACCGGACGAGCCTGCCCATTCATGCAACAGTAGGAGCTACTGCGTGGCATTACCTCAGCATTACATATGCTAAGTGAACATTTGCTATTTTTGTGTGTAAATGATATAGTAGATAAGCACTAGAGTTTTTTGATCTAGGTGGGGGAGGGGGGAGGGTTCTTACTCTTTCACAGGTTCAAATTCACAGGTGAACTAACCACAGCCTAAAAGTAATCGTGCAATGTCGCCGACCACACCAGCATTAGATATCTGAGACTTGGCACTGGGTAGCAAATGGACGATGCGTGATTACATGGTCTTATATTCGAAGATATACATAACTCCGGTTACTTGTAGCGTCCGTGTGTCTCCCGCCAGGTGTCCCTGGAGGGCGCCTCGCCTAACGTGAAGAAGGACCGGCGCAAGTTCGGACTGAGGAAGAAGAAGTCGAACAGCAAGTGCGCATCCGTCGAGCTGCAGCCTCCCCACATGGACCCGTCCAATTCGCACATGGTGAGGTCCACAAACTCCCACTCCCCACTCGTTACTCCGGACAACGGAGGCAACGCAGAAGTACGAAACTCAGTTCCCAGGTCAAGTGCAACAGCGGAATTTTGATGACCCCGTGGCGCAGTTGCCAAGGTATCGGCTTCTGCGGCGGGGGTCGTGGGTTCGATTCCCACGCAGGACAGCTATTCACGTGACCCATAGGTAATTGTTTCTGGTCTGGGTTTTTGTCCATGATATTTCGGATATATTAGTAAGGGGCCAATGTTTTCGAAGGGAAGACTACAAAAGCTCTTAAAGGTCACAGAGGCGACCTGTCTATTGAGACTCCTCCGAACCAACAACCCTAACGAAGTTGACGGTCAATGAGGGGCTCAAAAGTCAAGGCTTCCAGGGTTGTCAATTTGAGACCTTCCAGTTCCCATCTCCTAATATTGACCAGGAGGAGAGGATAGCTTACAGCGACGCTGTTCACCCTGTCCGCGATGACGCTGCTGAAGTAGAGGTCCAATCACGTACAATATACATTATGTTTCTCTCTCCCTCATCAAGTTTTTCAGCACTCACCCGAAGTACTTCCGTCCGCAGGCGCTGTCCGCTCTGACGGCGCCTCCTTCGCCGGGAGGCGGGTCCTCCTCCATCCCCAATTCGGCGGCCTCGCTGCCCATCGGTGAGTCCCACTCAATCGCTCTCCGTCGCGCTCGCATCCAACCCTGTGTGCAGTCTATCCGTCTCGCTCGCACCCCCCGCATCTGTGTGTGATCTCTCCATCCCGCTCGCACCCTGCGCATCTCTGTGTAATCTATCCATCCCGCTCGCACCCCCCCATCCCTATGTGTGCAACGTGAGAGTGTCTAGTTCGCTTCGCTGTGTCATTACTTACGTGCATAATAAATGATAACAGTGTAAACGTGAACAAAACATAAAAGGACAAAAGCATCTACATTAGATAATTTTCATACAAATATCTGCATATCTTTATACAGCGTGTAGTTACCATCGCGACAATAAATGAATACACGTCTAACGCCACTTGCCAATAAGCATAAAAAATATTAACGTTAAACAAAATCAATAATTAAAAAAAAATATTTTTCTAACAAACTAATTAAGTAAAAAAGAAACAAAATTTGTAACATCCTATACAACTCGCGCCACAGCGTCGCATTACAAGCCTCTCCTTCTAACAGTATGTTTTGTCTCTTTTAAATTCATTCAACCCATTCATATGCTTTGTGACCTTTACAAATGAACTTTACGTTCGCTTTTATAGGTAAGGGTGTTCTAAAATTCTTTGTTTTGGAAAATTTAATAACTCTGTAAATATTGATGTTTAAAGAATTTAAATATTTAATACAACTTTAAAAAGTTATCCCCTATATGTGTGTTCATTTAGTGACGCGATGGTAACGACACGCTGTATACAAGAGATACATAATTCCGAAGGAATTTGAAAACTAATATTTTAAACGCGTTTCTACATTTGAAAGGTTTCTGAAAGTATTTAAATCAAATTTAGGAATGTATCTCCGTTATCGCTTATTTACTATTTACGGGTAAAATAAAAAAAATCATTTAAATTTATTATGTGCGTAACGCAAACATATCTGTTTTGTTGTTTGTTTCTAGAATAAAAACGGACCTCGGTCCACCGTATATGCCTTGTGATCGTTCAAAGCCTGGGTCTAAATCAAATAGAGAGGAACTGAAAACGCCCAAGCGAACATAATTTTTTTATATAAAATGTAGTTGTCCCGTGTATTATTAGTTGAAGCGTGTCTTGTGATACTAATAAATGTTTTTTTTTCCGTTATTTATTCACTTTGTAGTTTGTTTTACATAGAAACTAGTATTAAATGTTGTTTTTAACTATGTCTTCTCGAGGATTCTACGAAATCGGTAAGTCTCGGCCGCCATCTTGTTCACGGTGACAGTATGGCGTCACTCCCCGTCTCTGTCACTCATTATAGACAGAGACGGCCATAGCATGCAACAAAAAATCTTATTTTTTGACTAGTGGTTAGTTAAATCGAGGCAATCAAGTTACTGTCAGAATAGTTTTCGATAAACACCACTTAAATTATCGGGAATGTTTTACGCTTAGGTTATTTAAATAAATCTGTATTTATGGTTACGATAGTTAACAGAGTTCATTTAGAACCTAAATAGTTGAACTAAAGAATAGTGAATTGTTATGAAACTTAAACCGTCGTTTAAATTTCGTTACAATAACTTATCCAATTTTTTTGAAAATTATTTTGACAGTCGCCATCTTTAAATATTTTTTTTTAATAATTTCAAGATATCAAAACATCTCGTTTGGACACTGAAGAAAATTAATTCTAATGAAATCTTTTCTCGTTTTGCCTTCCAGCGTTTCTTTCGACATTTCTGGCCACAACTTTAGTTCGTAAGACCGATTTTTATTTCTGTCTCTTTTCCCCCCCACATAATCCCGTTCACGCATACGCGGTCTTTATATATGTCACTACGTGCAAGCCAATTGATACTTTATTCGTATTGTATTTGAATTGTGTTTTGTTTGTATCGGGTTACGCAATTTAAAGCGTTTCTTTAAATTGGCCATTTTAAGATTTTTTTTTACGAATGGAAAAAGACATCTGTGTACAGTATGAATAAAGTTACTTTCGCAATTTTCCGATTTATTTGAAGCATATTTAAATAATTTTTTTATTTTGTTTTTAAATTTTTTCATAATGTCCATTGTAAAGCATGGTCGGTGTCATTTTGAAATCTTATCAGCGTATTTAAAGATTTTGCTTTGAATTTTCCCGTCATATTGTTATTGTGAACACTAAATTGTTGGCTTGCTTTATTTCCCAATATCGCTGTTTGATCGAGAGCGAATAAAAAAAATATCATGTCATTTCGAACACAGACAAAACTTCTATCTCAGTTTTTGCAATGACAATGTACGCAAAGTGTTTGACATATCGGCAAATTAAAACCAAGAATTAACGCAATCAAATCCGTCAAATAGTTTGTGTAGTATTCGGGTCAATGCAACAGACACGAAATCATTATCGATATTATTTCCCCACTAATGACGTAAACGAACCGAACGATTTAAAACTTACGTTCCCGTTACAATTGGTAGGGTTTATTTTTTTTAATCTTTCTTATGTAAGATACTGGCAATCGAGCTGGCGGTTCACCTGATGCTAAGTGATAACTGCCACCCATGGAAATTTCCAAGACCCATGGGGTTGCACATGCGTTGCCAGCTTATAAATTGTCTAATGCACTCACCAGACGAAACGCAGATGTGTAACACTTCCATTTCGCATCGGTCTTCTGTCAGGTCGTGGTACTTACCCGGACGGAACTGCTCATTCGTGAAATAGAGAAGACCATTGCGTCGCCCTACCACGGTCAAATTAAGTAAATATGGCAATGACGCCGCAAAAGCTATCTTTGATAGTTAAAGGATCAACACATATTATTACCTATTAGTACCTGTTTAGTTAATTTATCTAACTAGAGGGTCCAATACTCTGGCTAGTTTATCAAAACTCCGTAAAACCGTGGCGCGATTGTCAAGGTATTGACTTTGATGCCGGGGATCTTGGGTTCGATTCCCACACGGGACAAATACTTGAGACCCACAGATAATTGTTTCGGATGTGGGTGGATGTCCACGTGAAATGTACGTACGTATAACGTCCTTACAACGCGTTATAATGTTATCCTAGAATGAGGTGAATGTATAAACGAGTAGAAAACAAAAGAAAAGAAATAAATATCTAATATAAGGAAGCACTGATCCTAGTTCATTGTTTACTTCCACGACCTTGACTCAACTACATTTATCTCGCGAGATTCCGTACTATCGGTGATAACGACAGATTATCTCGCAACAGATTTACGGCCCACCGCTACTGACCCTCCCTGTGATATTTTGAATCGAAATGCTTACGTTTTAAAGTGCAAACTTGCGTGGCACAGCGCACGCGGCGGAAAATTCTGCTCGCTCCATTCCCGCCAAGATAAGTGTCAGTCGCAGCTTCGTGAAAAAAGATATCTTTTTAGTTTTAAATTCGGAATATTACAATTTTGTTTTGTGCCAGTGTTTTTTCTTTTTTCAATTAATATAATATGTGAAGTTTTTTTTTTTTAAATGTCATCTGACAGCGGAGGCGTCCTAGTGCCTTTAGGAAGAGTAATATGCAATTATCTCTTGAAATTGCTTAGGGAATGCGACGGGAGGACTTTGAGTAAGTTTTCTTAAATAAAGTGAATTAAAAGTTTATTTATTTAGTAATGTACTTTAATACTACTTTTAAGTATGAAATATAAACTTTTCTTTTAAACCGTAATGAAAAAAGTATAAATAGTTATGTTGAACCTGTAATGATTAATCTATTAGGGCACAAGATTATTTAGTTACCGAGTGTTGCGTAGGGATAATATTAAAATTTAATTGTACAAAGTAGGTAGTATTTTAAATACGCAGTTTTTTGTATATTTTTTTTTTTTTTTTTCAATTTACAAAGTTCTTAGACTACAGTCACTATATTAGTCAATAGTTATATGGCGAATTCACTTAGAAAGTAATACAGTAGTAAAACACCTAATTACATTATTTCCAAGCATTCATTATAAAGCTTTAATATTTTTAACTGTAGACACTTAAGATTGCTCCAAAAGATCACACCTTGCCAAACAATAGCTAAAGCCTTCAAATAATTACAAGTATAGATAAGGTGATATACAAATCATTAGATTGATTTTAACAAAAATATTTGGTATCTTACAGTTTCAATGAATATTTGTAACACACACTACGAATAATATACAGTTTTTTATTCTTATTTTTATTTTCTAATGATTTCAAGGACAAATATTTATGCCTTAAAATAAACATTCACGTGTTCAAAACCGTTTCACAGATAGGTTTAAATTCAAATTTATATTAGACGGCTAATCAAATTAGGTGGAACTACATATGGGTACCATGGGAAAGATTTAAATTTAATAATCGCCTTACTTTAAAAACTTCATTTTTTTTACATATGCATAAATTATAGGTTACTAAAAACAAGTATAATATAATATATTCCTTAAAAAGATAAAAATTACCGGATTATTAGTTCGCTTGTTTCTATAGAAAACATCTGAGCATTTTTATTATTCATAACTAGCTGCCTCCCGCGACTACGTCTGCGTAGAATGGGCTGAATGCGTAACATTCAGACAGAAAGTCAGATATACATAAAAGTATGTATACAAATTATAGCCTATGTGTTATTCTGATGTATAAGCTATATTATTGTGAAGTTTCATTAAAATCCATTCAGTAGTATTTGCGTGAAAGAGTAACAAACATCCATCCATACATACACACTTTCGCGTTTATAATATTAGTAAGGATAGTAACGACTACATTTTACATGAATAATTAATCATCGTCTATTAACTCAATCCCCACATTTATCAATAAGTTTCGTTTACTCAATAACCGATATATTGTGCAACCATTGTCTGTAACATAATCTTTTATTCGCATTGTAAATATCATCTGAATATCGCATTTCAATTCCGTCCTTGAGAAAAATGCCCTTGACATGTAAAACGATACATGAAAACATGGTATAACTAATGATGAATTGTCTGTATGGAGTAATCCCATGACTGTAATAATAATAACAAGTGAGGAGAAATTCGTTTAATCTGATCTACAGTTTGTTAAATATACGACGATACGCGAGACATTGACATTATTAAACATGATATTACGGAATGAAGTACCACATTGTGTTACGTACATTTTTTGTTTAAAAAATACGGAACTTTATACGAGATCCATATTTGTATGTCAATGTCCCGCGTATCAACCTATATTTAACAGACTATAACAATAAAAAACATACCATACACAATTTGAATTTCGAATTCGGGTGGTTTAGTAGAATACTCTTAAATTAAACCCTCGTTTAAAATTACTATTGGTAACAAACTTAGACTTGTCAAAAGAAGGGTTGTCAAGAAACTAGACAGCATGCAATACACCTTTTTGCTTTATAAATAATACAAGATTTAATAGTTCAGTTCAATAATTAGTTCGAGAGTTTTTATAGTTGGCTTTTTGAGCACTACACCACTATCACTTACCTATTAACCATTAATAACACAAGTAATGGTGATTTTGTCGTAGATGGTCAGAGAAAAAGCTCTGTCAAAACCTATTGTTGCTTAGAGGGCAGTTTACGAATTTATCATTTCAAACAACTAATCCAAGACCTCCATGGTATGACGGAATTGAAAAGCGATATCGTTGCATTTATTTGAAACTTAAGAAAATGTTACAACGTACGTCGAACGAAATACGAACCAGCTGTATATGTATAACTATGACTGACGATCATCAGACGTCTTGCTTACTAACACAGTGTGGCAGTGCCCTAAACAAAGTTACAATAGAGACATCCTCCAAAGCACAAACGGGACTCTGCTACTTTCGTAAGAAACTGCCAGCCAATAGAACAAATAGAATGCCGACCTTGCTAGTTATAACAGACTCATTGGCATTTAGCATGCGCGGCGACCCGCCCGCAGTCGTTGCCGGGGGCGGAGGCCCTTGGGGGCACCGCCGGTGGCGCCTCGCTGGTGAGCTTGACTCCTGACCACCAGTTGAGGGAAGACTTCGCTGTTCTGGCGAAGGATCTCGTCGCCAGCCTCAAAGGGATTGTTGCCACATTGGTGAGCAGCTTCTACTGATGTCTCTCCTTTTTTACTTTCGGTATTCAAGCTGTGCCTTATGATGTATAGCTTTTTGTAAAATGTTCAATTGTCTTCAAAAATTTAGGTTTTCAATATTGTGATTTTTTATGTTTGCTACCTCAGAAATCCGTCATTTGTAGAGGCAATTTTGAAAGTTATTTTTGCAATGCCTTCGATTTAGCTCCCATGTGGTCCCATATTTCATCAGGAGACGCGTGTGTCACAGTGAGACATTGGAAGTCGTTTTGTTAATAAAAACGATAGTCCGGACTAATTATGACACTCATTCGTCCAACGCCACGGTTTGTCCTGTGACCAGGAACGCTGATAATGGTTCGAAACGTCGTAAATATAGTTTAATTTTACAATGTTACAAAATCAATCCAATCACGTGAGTACAAGAAATTATGACATGAATTGTAGATTTTTTAAAAAAAAAAAATTGTAAGTAAAATCGGTTCACGAATGACGGAGTTCTGAGGTGACAGGCTAAGAAAAATACAAATCCGAATTGAGAGCCTCCTCCTTTTTGAGGTCGGTTGATAAAGAATGTGCATAGGTCTGCGAGAGAGGTCGGATACGCGCAGCAGCGGAGGCTGGTGAGGCGGCAGGAGGGGCCGCCCTGGCTGCCCTCCGCTCCAATTTGTCCACCGCCTTGCACCAGAATTCCGGTGAGCCGGCATCCTCTTCCATGCACCCGCAGAAGAGAGGGAGGCAGACACATGTCGAATATTTGCCTGGCTCTCTCTTCACAAAGGGATCTTCGTACACATCCAATTAACTTAACACGTTTTTTACGACATACTATCATTTTAATATGAAAATATAAATTTTATGAAATCCATTACTTATAAAGCTTCTCAAACAGATTAAACAATAATTCTAAGCCTCAAACTATTATTGACATGACAACAGTGCATACCAATAATATACATGGTGCAGAAGTGCTGCAAAGCACAAAGCGTTGGAGCGCTTTGTGCTTAGCACCACGACTGTCTAAACGGAAAAATAAGGCTAAGGCCTCCTCTATACAGAGGGTATCAGGGCATAGTCCACCACGCGGCCCCACTGCGGATTGGCGGACTTCACATATTTTCGAAATAATTTTTTTTGTTATTATTTCGAAAATATGCAGGTTAATGTTTTCCTTCAGTGATAACCCCTATTACATGGGCACCGGGAGCGAGTTGCTCGATGAATATGAGGGCTCTTAAACGGAAAAATATTAATACTTAATTTTAGTGCACCCCTATACATGGGCAAAGCGAGATCTATGTATCGGGAGGGCTTAAGACAATAAGAATGAGCAACATCGAAATAATAGACATATTTCGATTTTTGATAAAATCCGTTGACATTACTGACAAATTTACTTGATGTAAAAAACAAATTAAATAAATTAATTTGGTATTTCGAGGGGGGGTTCCCCTCGGCTACGCCCATGTCCCCATGTATCACACACCCACGAGCACAATCACACTTTTGGGTGGTGGTGTACTGACCTAGCAGCGCCCAGTAGTGCTCAACCGCGGAGGTCCCAATCCAGACTGGCCCCGCCGCCCGTCACCGGCCGCCGCCCGCGGGCTCCCTATTAAAATAATGACCGGCGAAGTTTACAATGCAGAGCTGCGCTCCAGACTGTCCCGGATCCACGACGCTTCGGACCTGGCCGAGATCTCGTCAATGGGGCCCTCGGAACAGGTCAGTGTGGAATGGTGTCCACTCTACTGAGGTCGCCAATGGTTTTGGGGATGTCGTTTTATAACTGGCACAATCGCCGAGGATAGTAATGGTCTAGCGCAAAGTTAGAAGACTTTTGTTCGATGATCCAATTGGATTCGTCAAGTGCCCTGCGAATGATCAGTTTTTTTTTTTTATGTTAAAAGTTGCCAAGCGAGCAGACGGTTCACCTGATGTTAAGTGAATACCGCCGCCCATGGACATCTGCTAAACCCGAGGATTGCAGATGCGTTGACAACCTTTAGAAAATTGGGCTCCGGCCACCTCACTCACCAGACGAAACACGAAAGTATTATACTTCCACTTATGCCGGTCTTCTGTGAGGTCGTGGTACTTACCCGAATGCGCCAGCCCATTCGTGCAACGGCCGAGGCTGCTGCGTGGCCCTACCACCGTCAGTGTTTTGTCTTCGCCAACTTACAGAGAACTTTGCGAAAATCAGGAGCCCATATTACCTAATATTACTTTGTTTTCAGTCTTTCATGGTTTAACTCGAAGCGAATGAATAATCTGTCTTAAATATCGAAACTAAAATAATCTGTGAAACTCAACCTGGCTAGCTGAAGGTATTGGTCAAGTTATTCGAAGCAAAGAATCTCACCATCTGATATTCTGTATGATAACATGAATAACACAAACAGCATGTATAATTTGTAAATCCACAAGAAACGTATTTATTTTATTTTGTTGTTAACGTGATCCGCTCTGAAACAATTCGTATCTCATCAGTGCAGATAGCGTCTAAGGTGTATGGAGGCTAACCTTGTGATTTTCTTAGAACGGTTCTCAGGAACCGTCCAAGTTACGATGGAGCGTGGTTTACATGTGGTCCGCTCCGTAATAGCCTGCGTGTCTCACTAGCACAGATGTAAGATGTAAAGAAAGGTTAGCAATAGTGGTTTGGACAATACCAATTTTAGTTTCTGTCACACAGCCGTGTTCAATTGCCTTGGCCAAACAATACCAATTTTAGTTTCTATCACTGAGCCGTGTTCAATTGCCTTGTCCAAACAATAAAAATTTTAGTTTCTGTCACTGAGCCGTATTCAATTGCCTCGACTGAACAATACCAATTTTAGTTTCTGTCACTGAGCCGTGTTCAATTGCCTTGTCCAAACAATAAAAATTTTAGTTTCTGTCACTGAGCCGTGTTCAATTGCCTCGACTGAACAATACCAATTTTAGTTTCCATCACTGAGCCGTGTTCAATTGCCTTGTCCAAACAATAAAAATTTTAGTTTCTGTCACTAAGCCGTGTTCAATTGCCTCAACTGAACAATACCAATTTTAGTTTCTATCACTGAGCCGTGTTCAATTGCCTTGTCCTAACAATAAAAATTTTAGTTTCTATCACAGAACCGTGTCCAATTGCACCGTGGAAACAATGCCAATCACTCGTTTTCAGCAGAACCGTCAGTTCCAGCGGTCGCTTAGCTACAGCTCGTCATGCGTCTCCGCCTCTGAGTTCTTCGACGCGGAGGAGCACGAGGAGAAACCGGCAGAAATCCTCGGCGCTGACGAGGTGAGGACAACGGTTGGTCGAAATTCCACCTATGCCGAGTTTGCGGAAATATCGATGGAGCGTTACGCAACCCAAATGGCATTATCCGTTCCACCTTTTGTAACCTATTTCAAGCAACGTTATTCTTAAATCTCCATTTGTTTATATTGTTTAGCCTTTTGCATTTTTTAACAATTTTAAAACCCTGTTGAATAATAATTTTAGTACTGATCAAAATGATGTTTTAAAGTTACGACATCCTCATACCTCAGATATTCTCTACTACTTATGCGTAAAAATTAATATTTGTATGTTCTTTTAGTTCTTCGATTTTTCATTTTGATTGCTTACAAAAAAAAAAGCATTTATTTCTATTCATTTATATTTTAGTATTTTTTGTGGTTCAATGCGTGCCGGGTGATGCTGATTTTTATATATTTTCCCCCCGCGCACTAATCGGTTAATGCCGTGTGGAACATTTCTCGTTTCCGTTTCGAAACGCGCCGATCCTGTACTCCCAAAGGATTCATCCCTACTCATTAAACGTTTTAGGCTGGAGTAATAGAGCTGGATGGGGACTCGTCCTCCGAGGCGGGCTCACTGAGCAGCGAGGAGGGCTCCGCTAGCTCCGATAATTCGGAAGCTGCAAGTAAGTTACAAAGCTAATTCGAAGTTTCTGTTTCCAATATAGGCTTAATCTACGCCCAGAACGTGAAAAAACTACCATAGGTTCATTAAAATAGACCTGGCCAAAAAAGAACCGGCAAGAAAAATCAAACATACAAAATTATATAAGTATAAAAATTATGAGCCGCCAGAGGACTTGCAAGTGCAGAGCAAGAGTCAGTTCCACACATCGTGGTCTTCAATGTATTCTTCGACATTGTTATAGGCTCTTTCAATTAGGGTAGCTTTTACGAAATGTTTGAGATTGTTTACACTTAGTTGTAATGCAGGTCCGTCTGAGGAAGTACCACGACTTAGGCCGGCGTATAATAGAAGCGTTATACTTTGGTTTCGTCCGGTGAGTGAGATAACCGGGATCCATTTTATTAAACGGTAGTAACGTTTCTGCTACCCCACGGATGTTGTGTTCATGGGCGTCAGTAATCGCTTAACATCGGGTGGACCGCCAGCTCGTTTGCCGACATATTTATTTTACATTAATAGTTAGATGAAAATATAAATAAAACTCATCTAGCGGAGTCTCCACCCTTTCGAGGCTTCGAGACGATATATTGAGACCGTTTGTCCACCGAACGCAGTGGTGACGGCCGAGCCGGTGTCGCTGCACCTGACCGCCAACGGGTCCGCCGGCGGGGACACGGGCGTGGGCGTGGGCGTGGGGGCGGCGGTGGGCGAGCGCGGCCCCGGGCAGCCCCACGGCTGGGCGCGGCGCACCCGGCTGCCGAGCCCCAGGCCCACGCCGGGCGGGCCCAGCCTCTGGAACCTGCTGTACAAGAACATCGGAAAGGACATTGGGCAGATCCGTCCGGGTAAGTATCACGACCCCAGAGAAGCTTTCACTCCGGAAGGTTGGCAGCATCACTGCCTCAAGCATGTTATTGAAGTTCACCCGTCCCACTATGTGGATTGGCCTCCGGAAAGTTGGCATCTCTACCTGAATGACGTTATAGAAGTCCACCCGCGAACGGACGTCGCACCATCTGCCCAGCCCACCACGTGTCAAGGTGCCCATGGAGCAACATTGGCACCTTGGCACCCTTCCGGAAAGTTGGAAACGTTCCAAAACGAACGTCGTCCTCCCCTCCATGTCAACGTGAACGTAGCCACCCCGTCGAGTGTAGCAACGATGTAGCCGTCCCCCCCGCTAGCTACTACGCGGAGGTTCGGCAACGCTGTAGACCGTACGCCGTCCCCCGTAGCTAATACGCGGAAGTTCGGCAACGCTGTACAACCGACTCCCCTCGGCAGCGGCTGTGCGAAGAGCTGGAGTACTGCTCTCTGCTGGACGCCGCGTGCCAGTGCGGCGAGGCGGGCGAGCGCGCCGCGCTGGTGGCGGCGTTCGCGGTGAGCGCGTACGCGGCGTCCGCGCACCGCGCCGCCTCGAAGCCCTTCAACCCGCTGCTGCACGAGACCTACGAGTGCGTGCGCCCCGACCGCGGCTTCCGCTTCCTCGCCGAGCAGGTGGGACTCGCCTCACCCTTACCGTTCCCCTTCCCCTTCCCCTACTCTCCTCTCCCCGTGACCGTCTTCCCTTGCCCCCTCCATGCATCGGACCCGTGAGCGTACCCGCAAACTCAATGCTTCCTCTCTCCCCCGTCCATGCAAGAGATCTACACACTCAAGGCTCCCCCCTCTGTTACAAGGAGTCGTTGTACGACTACCCGCATACTCAAAGTTCCCCCTACTGTTACAAGGGGCCCGCGGGCGACTACCCGCAAACTCTAGCGGGCCGCCAACACTCGTCTGTGGGTCACACAGCCAGTTGTCTCGAGTGAGAATCGAACCCGCGACTGAGTCACGGAGCCATCGAGCCTCTGCGACCGATAGCTCGTGTACGTAGGACCTCGCTCTTAATGAAAACCAGCATTGAATAGAAATATTAAATATAGTTTCATCTGGTAAGTGGGCCAACTTTTTTAAAGGTTTGCAACCCATCTTTAACCTGTCAGTTATAGGTAACTGTCTACTACCTGCTCTTGTAACATATTCAGGTATGTCAACCTCTTATCTGGCAGACTGCTTAGTTTGGGACCAGATAACGTTACGAAAAAAATGTGTCTAGAAACATTTATTAATGTTCTTATCGCACAGGTGTCCCACCACCCGCCGATCTCGGCGTGCCACGCGGAGTCGCAGAACTGGACCTTCTGGCAGGAGGCGAGGATCAGGACCAAGTTCTGGGGCAAATCCATGGAGTTCCAGCCGGCGGGGCGGGTGCACGTGCGGCTCAAGCCCACCGGCGACCACTACAGCTGGAACAAGGTCGAGGGCGGAGTGATTTTTTTTAAGTTTTTTTTATGTGAGGAGATGGCAAGTGAACTGGCGGTTCACCTGATGTTAAGTGATGACCCTCGCCCATTGACATTTGATTTTGACAGATGACATTTGAAACAGTCGCAGAGTTGCCACCAAGATGCGTTGCCACCTTTTAATACATTGGGCCCCCGGCCACGTCACTCACCAGACGAAACGCAGAAGTAATAGGATCCGTCGCCAATAGAATTTATACACTGCTCATTTCTTATTTAAATCTGTTGTTAAATGTAACGAAGGGAATCAGCTTACCCGGCACGCTATCACTCCCATAATTTTTCCCAAACGCGCCGTAAGAAGTGTAGCTTCAATTAAAACCGGCCAAGTGCGATTCCGGCTCGCGCACGAAGGGTGTCTATTGTATGAGATGCTTAAATATATTTTTATTCTGTTTTTTACTATTTGTTGTTATAACTGCAACAGAAATACATCGTCTGTGAAAATTCCAACTGTCTAACTGTTACGGTTCACAAGATACAGTCTGGTGACGGACGGACCGACTGACAGACAACGGAGTCTTAGTAATAGGGTCCCGTTTTGCGGTTTAGGTAAGGAACCTTAAAAAAAAAATTTCCTATCGGTCCACACAGGTGACGACCTGCGTGCACAACCTGTTCGGCGGCCAGCGCTGGGTGGACCAGTACGGCGACATGCACCTCACCTGCCACGGCACAGACGTCAGCTGCAAGCTCAACTTCGTCAAGGTACCTAACCCGATGGACCCTGGGGAGTTCTTCAAACACACGGACACGAAGGGACCCTTGCCCGCCTACAAGTTGAACAGTTTGTTATTCAAATGGATTGTGTCTGATTGTTGATGTGATTTTTATTATTTACTTATTGGATTACCATAAATTAAATGAAAAGAATTTTATCTCACTGTGCTCGCCATAAAAGGTAATCACATCATGTTTTAAAATTCTTAATTATGATAAGAAAAAGTGCAATACACAATAAAAAAATAATTATTTCTATTAATGTCATGTCTTCATCGTAATTTGCAAGATAGAGAGAGTTTGTAATGAAAGAATCATCAAATTCGGGCCATATAGTCTAGAGCGATACGAAGGAGCAAACTGATAAAAGTTAGGCAAAAGAGCCGGAAGTGATGGATACTACTCGAATCCGAGCAATCTTTAACGGCTACTTGGATACCAATGAAACGTTGTTTTGTGAAAGGGACTACGCCTGTAGGATTCGAGCGGGCGATCGTCAAAGATAAATACAAAGAGTACCAGCTAACTGAGAGATGTGTTGCAACACAGGCCAGCTCGTGGTCGGGCAGCCGGCACGAGGTGCGCGGCGCGGTGGCGTGCGGCGGCGCGCGGCTGCGGCTGGCCGGCCGCTGGTCCGAGGCGCTCTCCGCGGGCGACCCGCCCGCCGCGCGCTGCCTCTGGCGCCCGGGTGGGTGCCTCGCCCCTTCCGCCCTTCCGCGCTTCCGCCTCTCGCCTCTTCCGCCTCTCGCCCCTTCCGCCTCTCGCCTCTTCCGCCTCTCGCCCCTTCCGCCTCTCGCCTCTTCCGCCTCTCGCCCCTTCCGCCTCTCGCCTCTTCCGCCTCTCGCCTCTTGAGCCTCTTCCGCTTCCCGCCTTTATCGCCCCTTCCGCTTCTCGCCTTTTTCACCCCTTCCGCTTCTCGCATCTTTCGCACCTTCCGCATCTCGCCTCTTTCGCACCTTCTCTTCTTCTTCGCTTCTCGCCGTTTTAGCCTCATACCTTATTCGCAAATTCGACCTTATCGCCTCTTCAACTGCCCTCCTCTGTTGCCCCTTCCGCTTACGGCCTCTTTTGTAAATTCCGCCTCTTGCCTCTGCTTTTGAAATTTCCACACTTCTCTTAAGCTTTTCCGAATGCTTGGCACATCTATTGATATGTCCTTTACAGCACAAAAATAATTTTAAAGAATAATTTAATTAATTTTTTACAACGATAATTCGAACGAAAGATGTCGCTATTGCTATTTAAAATTTACTTTTTCCTAGACTTAATATCTAATTAGTTAGTTAAATAATTAATTAGTTTAATACTTGAAAACCGTCTGCGTGCAAATCCGGAAGACGTGGGTTCGATTCCCGCAGCGGCGAAAAACGTTTCATCCATTTCTTTACAATCTCCAACGTTTCATCTTTAGTGCAGAGATTATCGCTGTAATCAATTGAAAGCTAATCGATCCATCATACCACAGGGGCGATGCCGCCGGACCACGAGCTGTACTACGGGTTCACGCGCTTCGCGATGGAGCTCAACGAACTGGAGCCGGGCATGAAGGACGTGCTGCCCCACACGGACACCAGGCTCAGGTGCGGACGGAATAGGGGTGTCGAAAGTGAACACATTCTCTTTACATCTTACGAATCCCGTCGTCTGAAAAAAGGGTGTGTTAAGTATTAAATAATTGACAACAACGGACTCTGTGCCCGATTCGAATTTGAAAAGATGCCGTTTTTGATATTGAATATTTGTGTAGATGCGGTGAGTCATCCGGGCCGTCACTTGACTTTTTTCTTTACTCCACCAGGCCGGACCAGCGCGCGCTGGAGGAGGGCGACGTGGAGAGCGCCGAGCGGCTCAAGCTGCAGCTGGAGCAGGCGCAGCGCGAGAGGCGCCGCGACCAGCCGGACCGGCCGCCCGCGTGGTTCCGGTCAGCCCACCGCCACCGCCAACATTCTCACACTCCTCAACAATGTCTCCCATCTGGCTGACCCCCCACCAACCTCTACCTCAAGCGGGGATTCCCCAACTCCCAACGGTCTCACCCACTTCAACAAGATCGCGAACAGACAGATGGGACCCCCCACCAGCCTCTACCTCAAGCAAGGAACTCCCGCGGTCTCACACTCTTCGACAAGCTCGCTGAAGACGATCAAGTCGTGTGACAAATGGAAGAATTCGAAGACCCGAATGACGTAGTTGGCAGTGTGCCTGCCTCCTGCGCCTAAGGGTATGGGTTCGATCCCCACTACTGGAAAATATCGTGTGATGAACATAGTGTATTTCTGCTGTCTGGGTGTTTTTATATGTATTTATTTACAAAAGTATGCTTATCAGTTATCTAGTACCAATAGTACAAGCGTTGTTTAGTTTGTGACTTGAGAACAATGTGTCCTAATATTATTAATATTAGTCCTAACCTAACCTATATTATTTAAGTGATTCGGAAAAGGGGGGCGCACTAACCTCGTCCACCCCGCTCGCAGGAAAGTGTGTGAGGGCGGCGAGGAGATGTGGCTGTTCACGGGCGAGTACTGGAAGGCCAGGGAGGCGGGCTTCCCGGAGCTGGACGCGCCGCTCATATGGTGACCGCGCCTCGCGATACACGTGAGCATCGACTGGCGTTCAGCGCATCCACAACCCTCGGATGTAGCCGACGTCCATGGGCGGCCGTATTCACTTGACACCACGTAAAAACGAAAAAAAGAAAGGGTCGCAGGGTCGAAGATCGAAAAATGTTTCGAAGATACGTGAACTCCGCCAATCAAGTAGGGTCGCGTGGTTGGACTATGCCCTATATACAGGTTGATTTTATAGACGACGGACATATGCAGGATTTGATTCTAAATCTGAATCTGTTACATACTTGTGACCTCATTTTTTTTTTTTTCAAAGATTGTTTTTAATTTTTTCAAACATATTAGACAACATATTCAAGAGCACTAAAACTTCGTTGATGTCATAATTACTAAACCGCTATCTATATTTGAATTGATTTTTTTCTGGTTATTTCTTGTCAAAATAAAATATTAATATTTTTTTTTTTAACTATGGAATGCTCAATTAACATTATGTCAAAGTATGTACTTCGTTTAAAAAATCAACCTGCATAGAGGAGGCCTTTGCCTATCTTTTTGCCTATTGTTGATGCGTTTGGTATCCCTATAGTAGCCTGGTCCGTTAAGATTAGGGCCTGTGGTAGGTCCAAGCAACAGTCTTCTCTGTAGTACGAACGGGCAAAGACCGGCGTGCAGTGGAAGTGTTACGCTTCTGCGTTTCGTCTGGTGAGCGAGGTGACCGGAGCCCACTTTGTCAAAAGATGGCAACGCATCTGCAAGCAACCCTACGGGTGTTGCAAATGTCCATGGGTGTCGGTTATCGCTTAACAACAGGTGAACCGCCAGGTCGCTTGCCACGTTGACAAAATAAAATAGAACACAATGACTCAAAAGAGTCCTACAACAATGCGATTTTCCACGCGACTGTACTGTTTTGATTATAACTATGGCGTACGTTCCATCCGTTGTGGTCAATTTTCCACGCGACTGTTCCGTTTCCATTATAACGATGACGTCACTTCCCTTCCAGCCAAATGTGTTTATTTTTCCACGCGACTGTACTGTGTCCACACTAACGATGACGTCACTTCCGTTCCAGCGCGTGCCGCAGTACGAGGTGCTCTGCTAGCGGCCGCCCGCCGCTTCCCCGCTTCGCGATCGATAAGTGCTTCACGATTTTGGCCCTTACGTGTTGCGTCGACTGCGAACGACTCGTTCCCGCCGAGTTGCGGACGCAGGGGCGAGATTGCCGCGTTCTATTTCCGGTGCATTTTAATGTTAAGTGTAAGCCTGTTTCGAACGGTGCAGGATTTATTATCTGTGGTGATACAATATATTGTCTATTTAAAAGACAAAACTTATTGCTGGCCACAGATGACTGGGCTTAGGAAGTGTTTTTTTTTTTTCTAGAATCAGATGTCTCTGGCTTTAGAGTATAAGGAACTCGTCTATATCTATATGTTCATAATGTTTGAGATTTTTTTTATTTAAATGTATGAAGTTTTGTTTTAAAGCAGCTACAATAAATTACTTGCCCTAATATACAATTGTTGTTATGCTATATATTTGAAATCGACTTGTTTTCGCCTTAGAGGCAAACTTAATTTATATTCGAAGATCCAAGATCGTTATTTATTTTTACTTAGAACATTGCTTAGCTTTTTTATGTTGTTTAGAAATGTCAAGCTCTAAAAGAGAAATTGTGAGCGGTAAAAATTTACCATCACTCATTGTCAATGTTTTTAATCTGTGTATTCTTTACATACATGCATACAAATGAATGTATGTTTTACAATATTTTCGTGTTTATGCTTTTAGCTAACATTAAAAGGAACTACATATATATTAGATATGTAGAACTATTTTTTTGTGTACAAAATGTTTTTATTGTGGCTGTGAGTGAAATATTCTGTTGTAGTTTTCTTTTGTTATTTTACATTGTTTTCAACTCACAAAGTTTTGTTATGTCAATGTAAAAATTCCTTACAATTTTGTTAACATCTTTTTTTAGCAATTACTATATTAAATTTTAAATTGAATTTGTCGCTTATAAAAAATTCAACACTTATTATTAAAAAAAAATATCTTATAAAATGCATGTATCAATTGAGAATTGGATTTTATATGATTCAAAGTTATTAATAAATGTCTATCTTATGGCATAAACTACTCTAGATCAAATAGCATCATACTTTTAATAAATAACTGTATATGTTAACTGTCAGATGAATCCATCTGACAGTTAACATATAAAAAAGACTCATTGATATTATATGGATATCTCAAATTATACATTCGCTTATGAATGACATCATTCACGTTGTATCGTTCGATTACGATGTTTCTATTATATACGTAATTAAAGTTGAAATCGAGAATAAGTTGTAGAGCGATTCGTCAATTTAGCGTTCTCGATCGTTCCGATTTTGAGTACATTCTCGGGAATGCGATAAAGTCTTCTGAATGCACAAAAATCTGGGCAACCAGGGAGGGTGCTGACGTTTGCAGACGATTTTTGTGAAGCTATCGCAGTTTGAGGTTATGGCGAACACTGGACTGAAATGAAATAGAACACGTCATAATATTTTGTGACGATGTGTTTTGTGCAAATCACTACATAGTATAAAAAATAGTCGTCCTGCTGTCGGTCTGTACCTATGTATGCTTTAGATCTTTAAAACTACCCAACGGATCTTGATGCTAGATAGAGTGATTCAAAAGGGAGGTTTATACGTATAATACATTGCACCCGTGCGAAGTGGGGCGGGTCGCTAGTTAAATTATAAAATGTTAATCTATAATTCCATCAACTTGAACTTAATAAATCTCATTTTCGTTACGATTTATCTAAAACATAATTCGCAATATCATCATATTTATCATTTCATGGTTTTTTGGCCATTTTTGTGGCAACGCAATTTCCCATCTAATTTCTTGTCAAATGTTATTCATTAAAACTTCTATTTAATGGTTATATTCCCCGTAATGGCGAAAAATATTTGTAGAGTTTAAAATTAATGTTTTCGACTTTGTAAGAGTTAAGAAAGCGCCATCTATTGACAATCTTATATCATTACGACGGTAATGTTTCGTTCGCACCTATTTTAGTCTTCAAATATTAAATAAATATGAATGTGAAGCATTGTTAAATAAAATTAATTTACCGATTTCATTTTAGTTTTGCGTATAGTGCATTCGCGTGACCATGGACTATGCAGTGTTGCAAGTTACCGAGTCTTACCTAACAATTCATGAACTAGATATATTATATAAACAGGATAAAATCTATTACTTAACTTTATTTAACGGGACAATCCGACCGTCTAGCTGTTCTAATATTAAATCTTCGGGAATATTTCACGTTTTCCGTTAAAATGACGATTTGGCAGATAACTTTTGACTTCAAACTATGTTTCAGGTCGATTTTATTATGATTTTTTGACTTGCAGAAAAATGCGGTATCTATAACTATTACTACTCTCTATGGAGAATCCCCAAGACATTATAATATCGATAAGTGTTTATTTTTAGCAATTCGAATGTTTTCTTAAATGGAAACAAATCGCGATAACTTCCGTTGGGTGGTTTTATTACAGATGGTTTTAAAAGTTTTCCCAAATCGTTGCCATCCAGTGTTAGTTGCTGTAACCTCGCCTGGTTAGTGATTCGTCTGTACTAACTATTCTAGTCAGGGCCGGATTTAGGGGAGGGCAGCCGGGGCCTCTACAAACGAGGGGCCCCCACAATAGGGACTTCGGAAAAAAAATCAAATTCAGGCTAGTAAACAATAGTAAACAGTTTTACCTTTCATATTTTTTTTTCGCGTTTTACTTTTACCTACAGTACTTTGTACAAACATGATTAAATTAAATATAAACAGAAAATAATTTGGGGGCAAGGGGCCTCCAATCCTTTGTCGCCGCGAGGCCTCCAGACCTCTAAATCTGGCCCTGGTTCTAGTGCTTTGTAACCGTAAGATAATTCTTTCTCTCCGTATATAGTATATTCGATGTTGTCGCTAGTTAGGGCTAGGCGTTTAGTCGTTTTTTATATATCTAGTGTTGTCCCCTTTTTTCTTCTATCGATCTCGCTTCAGAGTCAATCTCTCGTACTTCGATAAAGCAATCGTCACCATTCATCATCATTTCAGCCTGTTAGAGTCCACTGCTAAACGTAGATCCTGTGCCACCTGCATCCATCGACTTCCCGCACAGGTCCTCACTCCATCTATGCCCGGTCCACCCCCCCAAGCCCCTCCCCCCTTTCGAGCCTCACGTGATTAATGGCCACCCCTAAGGTTTTCGAGTGGCAGTTTGGTATTGGCTACCTTATTGCAGGACGATCTCCACTAGTGCCCGGTTCCTATATTAACGAAACGACGGGTTTTCTTACGAGCCGATGCATTACCTGCGGGAAGTGAGTTAATAGCGTTCCTTTAATCTAAAAAACAGTGGGCTCCTGCGGCCGACGATGGTGTAGAAGGCCGACTCTGATGCGCCGCCGCGTATTTACGGATTTTGCCTCTTTTTTGTACAAATACGGGTTCTGTCGGTTGTTATTCGCATTCATAATTCCCTAGAGAGTATTTCCCTAGGGCGTCTTTACTAAGTATGTATTTGTGTAGAGTTAACGTGCGTCACTTAAAAATGACAATAAGGAGCGTGTACGATATACGAAATCGTTGTTATTAATGTTACTGTTTTGATGTTAATGGTGGAAATGAATTTCACAGCTTGGATTATTTTTTTTTTCTAAGGTTTTTAGGATGACTGTTTTTTTTTTTTTTTTTTTTTTTTTTCGTTTTCCTACATTCATTGGGCCTAGAAGGATAGATACTAAGGTTATAAATACAGTAATCGGCGATAAATATTCCACATGGACCATTGGAAAGAGAGAATCGGATAATTTCGCCTTCGTAGGGCGTTATCTCTGTCGCACATTTGTACAATGGCTGACGAACGTCACAGCTGGTGTGAGGCCCTACCTACAGCGAAGGGCCCAATTCCGTTGGTTCTGGCTAGCCCACCGGTTCTGCGTCAGATGAAGATTTAATAGTCTCGGGACTGAAAGCAAAAAACATCAATTCATAAAAATAAAAAAGGTGATGTGTGACAGAGATAACGCTCATCGAAATCGATCTAAATTAACCGATTATCCCTTTCCAAAAGTCGAAGTCGATACGTAAAATTTATCGCCGAGTAATAAACACGTCTAAATACCGTGCTGCCTCTTAACAAACGTTACGTTTAGGGATTCGCCGCTAAAACAATTTATCCGTCAACTAGGCGAAATTTTAGTATACATAGGTTTATTTTCATTAATTAAAATGGCATGTTCGTATTGGTATTGCCTCTCGATGTTTGTAACATTTAAATCGTGGAAAATAAACAATAATAAAATTACATTCATCACGCAATTAAAATGACAGGTGTTAAATATTTTTATTTCGATTAATTTTCCCAATTACATAATCGTTATATTTGTATTTAAGAAACGAAATTATCATTTCACATTATTATTAAGTAATTTTAAGTTAGTAATGTCGATTATAGCGGGAAATGAAAATCGTACATGGGGTGAATTTTTCAAGTGGGCATGGATGGCCAAATTGGAAACTGTGAAGACTATTCTATTAATAACTAGCCGACCCGGCAAACGTTGTATTGACATATAAATTATTTGTCGAGTAGAAACAAATATTTGGGGTGCACCACCCTTAACGTTTAGGGGGATGAAAAATAGATGTAGTCCGATTCTGCACCCTGGCCGATATGCACACAAAAATTCACGAAATTCGGTCGAGCGGCTTCGGAGGAGTTCAGTTACAAACACCGTGACACGAGAATTTTATATATTAGATTTTGATTATAACAATAATTTTGAAGTCCGGTAAAGTTCCACGACCTCATAGAATAACTGCGAGAAGCAGAGTTGTTACACTTTTGCCCATAATTAACGCACGCATGAGTACATGCGCGGCCCTACCCACCGTGGAAGGCCTCAAACCCGTGGGTTCCGGCTAGCCCACCGGTTCTGCGTTCGATGAATCTTTAATAGTCTAAGGACTGGAAGCGTAACATCAGTTATACAAATACAAAATACTTTTGCGTTTCGTCTGATGAGTGAGGTAAGCGAGGCCTATTCAAAGGTGGCAACCCTACGGCTATTGCAAAACTGTCTTTTGTTAAAAATAATTCAAAGTCGAAAGTATATTTATTCAATATAGGCCTAACTTAAGCTCTTATTGAACGTCAACGAAAAATCTACCACCGGTTCACTAAACTAGACCTGCACAGAGAAGAACCGGCAAAAAACTCTGCGGTCTTGTTCTTTTTGTTATAATAAGATTTGATTATAATGATAACATACGGCAAAATGAGGGAATGAGATACTTGCTATTCCTCGGTTATAAATTTGGCCAACCGCGCCCTCTTGTAATATATGGAAGAATTATTATCATAAAATTGAATTTATATGACTTTCTTGAATAGAAACACAATAATTACTGATGGAATGTAATAGTCTTCACCTTAATAATTTTTTGTTGTAATTCGAATTTTCAACCTTTTACTGCAAGGCAAGTTATTTACAGTGATGCCACCTTGATATGCGGATTTAGACGTGTATAATTATAATCAAAGAAGAGAAATATATTGTTGTCTATAATTAATACATAATCCAGTTGAAACCGCCACCCAATTTTTGATGTTTCACGACATATGAGAAAGACAAGAACTCGCCTCATTATATATAATATAATTACTTGTAATAGAATATTCGCATTCCGTCTTATAGCGAAGTTTAAGTTTTAAATGTTTTTATTTCGTTTTTCTTCACGCGGGATTCCTTTTTGGCGAAAAGTTTTTTTTTTTTCTCTTATTTTGGCGTTTTGTGCCAGCTAAGGATATTTTATTAATGTTTTAAAATTTTAATATACAAGAAATTTTGTTACAAGAATCAGCTGGATAAATAGTATTTGAATTTTTTTTAAAAGTTTTATTGCAATTAATGTAACCTTTATCAAAACGCTTGTAATTTTTATTTGAAGACTCTGAGAGAATGCCGCGTGAAAAATGATGTAGTGATATTTCCATTTGCTTTTTTTATATACTTATTGCTAGTAAAGTTTATAATCTATTCATATAAAATTATTACTTTTTTTACCACAAGTCACATTTTTTATAAAGTACTTAATTAGCTGTTGTAATTTTAATATTGAATATTTTCTTTACAACGTCTAAACTAAAATGCTTCTTCTTTTTTTAATTTATTTGTACCAAATTTTGACAGCTGTGAATTCCAGTTTTGACATATTACGAAGATAATATATTCGTTAGTTTTAATGGAAATGCTAACTTAATCATAGTCGATGGGTGTAATAATACAACCGGTGATATTTTAATATTTTATCAAGATGTTTTCGTGTAATGCAATAAGTGCCTTTATAACATTTCTTTTTTCGATGTCGTGTAATGACTTTAATGTGTTTGGTCGACGCTTACTTCACATTCGCCTTCAAATTTGTCGTGTAAACCATCTTTTAAATTAAATGGGAGAAAATTGAAACATTTTTTTTTTGACTGGTTTATAATTATTTTTGTCCGTGTTGTTTTGGTTTGACAGGGCAAATAAAAAAGAAATGGCAAAAAGATTATTGGGGAAAAAAATGCAATGTATGTCTTCTGTGGATCGTGGATTTCCTTATATTTTATTGTACATAAAACTTGCTAATATATGTTGCCTTTTTTATAGGCCATAATCCTTCATACACTTATGGCGTTGATTTCGTTTTCATTGTGGAGAGTCGGCGTATAAATAATTGGTTACTGGACGAAAATGGAGACGTTAAGATATACCTTCGGTGATAAAGAACGCATAAAAAAATATTTTAAAGGTTGCCACTCTAGCGGATAAAAATTAAAAACTTTAGCGGAAAGAATTAAAAAAAGTCGAAAATGGCCAAATTAAGGATTGACACTGTATCGCGGTGGTTGTGAAGTAAGTGCGACTGAGAGCGGTCTGGTTGTAATGAAAATGTCCTAAATCATATATGGTTTTATAATATTAATAAGGTAACGGGATTGTTTATTTCCATCGATTCGTTTAGGTTGCAAGAGCGTACATTTTTGATGAGAATGGATCGTCTTTGATTCGCGATGTATGTACTGTATAGCTCTCTCACGCTCCTTTTGCTTATTCACTCATCTCCTGTTTCGCTCACGCGGCAAAACTCGCCAGAGTACCCACAGATAGTTCTTACGACACTTCCAAAATCTATTCACGTTATAGGACGAAGGCAGTGAAATAAAATCTTATGATAGTGTTCCTTTTTTAATTCACGCGAGTTTCGTTGCGATAAAATGCAGTATCATAAACATGTACTATTAACATGATGGCTAAATAAATATTTATTATTATTAATGAGATGAAAAAGAGTTTTGTAAAACCTTCATACTAGTCGGCGCGATTTGGTTTAATTAAAAAGATACCGTGCTGACTGGCATGCAGTCTGAACTTAAAATTAGACAAAAAAAGTCTATGTTATGTACATGACATATTTTTCGTGAGTAATAAGGTCTAGTTAAGTCCTTAGCTTGCCCGCCTTAGGAGCCCAACAAGGACCTAAAAATATAATGCATTTTTAATGTGTCTGCCAGTAACTGACTTATAATTATTTATTTAATTTCACTATTGCTGAATCAATAATGTACTGCTCTGGCCACCGTATGTTTTGTCGTTCGGGTACTATTACGATTTTTTTAAGCTGTGTATTTATTTTACTAGAAACTATAAGTCACAACAAGGATTTTCGTTATTAATAACAAACCTACTTGAATATCAAATGTTAATAAATGGCAAGTAACACATTTGCTATATTTTACACATAAATTCTTCCAAATAAACAATACTTGAAGCGAAGAAAGGGAAAAATAATGTCATCTCTCAGTTATAAAATATCGGTCATTTGTTAACATTGTGATATTTGACTTACTAAATTAACTTTAAGATATATTTATATACAAAAAGATATATTGTGTAAAAAGCTTACTATGTAACTATAAGCTAACGCGATAGCAAGGTTACCATGCCACAGTTTAAATTTTGTTATGTGATTTTGTTCTATAGCTAAATATAAAAAAAGATAACAAAGAATACTCTTTTATTTATTGAAAACTACCCATACTACTATTTCATGTTACATGAAAAGGCAGGCTGTTTTTCTATCGTTATATTAGCCCGGGGCCTTAATATCTTCGACAGTAGATCATGCGAAAGAACAACTAAGCCAATGCACAATGATGTCAAACGCTTCACTGCAACTCCGCGACCCCTTAAACGTGAGACAAAAATTAAACTACCAAGGGAAAAACACGATCAAAGAGCCCCTGAAGATTGAAATCTCATCTCGAACTGCACTTGATAGTAAAACCTATCCAGGGGATGTAATTTGAAATTATGAAATATAAATCCCAAAACTAACGCTTCGTCAGCATTTAGTTTATATAATTAGCAAAAATACCCCGCTCCTAGACAGCGGGCATTCCCCAAGTATGAGTACTTTCCCCGACCTTCTATTCCCTATAAACCAACGACCTCGCTGGAACTACGCACGCAACCCGGATTATTATCCGCTCTCAATTTGCACTAAGCACCCTAAGCGAATGGTTCAGAAAGTCGTGGATGGGTTTTTTGACAACATTCTACAAATTGTGGTGATACAATAATTTAATAGCCCAAAAAACATTGCACTTTAATTAAACTTAATCAAGTTCACAACGTCGAAATTAAATACCACAATCATTTTTAAAATTTTATGTGTTATAAAAACGGTGTGTAATTGGCGGCATCTCTGCTGACGGAAGAAAACGAGGATTCCACGATTGTAGCGATGGACGATTGCTTTTTTTCCAGGTCGATCAACTCGAATTGTAATTAATCTCTAAGTCGACTTGCAAATCGGGCTGGATCGACTTGACTAATAAGCCTAATCACCAAGTTGTACTTGCTTCCATGCTTCCACTACAATTTGAGCTCGATTTGCGACCAAAATCTGACTGAATCTGGTGAACAGGTAGGAAGATGGTAAGGATAAAATCGTCGTGTCTGGCCGGCTAGTACTAACTTGACATTTCAAAATCGTCATACCATCATGTCCAAGTGTGATCTGATATGCTGGATGTAACTTTTTCAAAATCCATAACCACTGTGCTGCTTTTAGAGCATTGTGTGTTTTCAATATGTGGACACATACATATAGGAAACGCGGCCACACCATTTAGAGATTAATCGTTACAACAAACAATAATATCGATTCTGAACTCGACCAGTTTAAATGTATTTTTAATAGACCGTTATTTTTTTTCCAAATTTCAATTGAACACAAAAAAAATATTAACGTAACATAGTCTAAACTTTTAGCATCAATCTAGGTATTAAATTATAAAACTAGTTTCACTGTAAGGAAATTGTCTTGTCTCACTATCTGTATCTATCTTTAAACGATATCGACAAGTCTGGACAATTGGACATGCCTACGGCGCTGTTTCAAATTGAAATTTCATCAAACAATGATTTGGCAAGTTGATTTGAAATAAAGATACGGGGAATAAAAAACTTTCTTTGGTGCCTTTCTTTATTTTATTTAGGTAACTTCTTATAGTTAATATCAATGAAGAGTTTGGCAAGTTGATTGTACTTTTATGCATAGAAAAGCCAAAGTTAACAGGTAAAGATTTTGAACTTAGCGCTCTAGATTATACGTTATTTTTATCTTATTTGTTTGGTATATTGTCAATATTAACACTTATGTAAGCTAACATGTTAATACTTAACATATTGTCTAACTGCGTTCCTAAATTGGCACATAATTCTTTGAAGTATGCAGGTATTTGACCTAAATTTACACGTCAGTTATATACTTATGTACGTTAATAACTTTATAGAAGGGCACTAGAATATCTAAAATTACAATCCGTTAGACTAGATATTAAGTGGCTAAGAAAGGTTAAAATTAAATTTTATAAATTAAAAAATTGATTAACAGAAAGATACTATACAACTGTTACATATTATTAACGTGTTTTTATTTAAAATTCTCACAGAAATTTAGCTTTTAGGTTATTTAGTTAGCTACAATAGTTAAGATTTGTTAGAACGAAATGACAAAATAATATATCAAGCCTCCAAAATTAAAATAGTGGAATGTATAAACTGTAAAAAATGATAAAAGGGTTTAGTTATTTATGTTAAAGTGATTGCGTTACGGTATTCCAGTCTGCAGAATGTCGAGTGCCTCAGTGAATGTTAAGTTCCGCTGGGGCTTGACACCCTCAGATCCTGAGCAGCAGCCAGTGCTGATTGTAGGGCAAGCTGTGCATTTGAACACACTGTCATGGCAGAATGTACGCTGCAAGCTGGAGCCCAGGGTCTCCGAAGAGGTAATATCAATCTTGTCAATAAAAGATCAAAATGTGTTCATGTAAGCCCAGAATTAACATTTGTTAATCAAAAAGTGATTCTCTCTTTTCTCCATTCCTGATAATAAGGTAGTTGTAATAGATGTCCTGGTTCAATATTTAACTTTTTAGTTAACTAGTTTATACCTAATTATATCAAGTTATAATTAATTTATTGGTTAAAATACATATGATATGCATTCAAAGTCTTACTAAGCACAGACTTCTCCTTTAATTTTTGTTTTAAGAAGGGAAAGATTTTCAACTTTCCCTTCTTTACCGCTTAAAGCAGTTTACCACTTCAACTCCACACTTTAACAAGTCAAATTTCTTAAATTCACAATTAAATGTGAGTTGAATTTATAAACTGTTCAATAATTTCTTCAGTGTTGCGGGATTCCAACCTAAATTTTCAGAATAACATGCCCATATGCTCTAATCAATTGAGTGAATACTTTATAATATGCCACCCTTAAAATAGGTTTCACAATTAAGGTTTTAAGGGCAGGTGTTGCCTTTGCTATTGTAATTAAGGATTATTCTGTAATTTATAGTGCTTATCTGCACACAAGATGAAATATAAATGTGAGTTTAATGGAGAAAATTGTTAAAAAATATTATCAGCAAGCACTATGAAATCCAAACCAGCGTATTCTAACCCTCCCAGGCACTAATAATCTGAGCGAAGCATCCAATATCCTTAAGCATACTCACATTTAAACTTCATCCTGAGTGCGGATTAGTACTAAAAATAAAAGAAATAAGCCTTTAAGACAATTCATCACTTTAGTATGATTGTGGGGTATAACAGTTGATGATTATGTAGGATACATTGGGGGTGACATGGCATTGAGGAAAAGCAAAGAAATTGTTGGTTATAAAACCAATAAAGTAATAATTTTCACTTGACTCGAAATTGTTTTTACCCAAAAACCAGCTAGTGCTTTTACCTACCATTACACCAGAAGGTAAATGATGAATACTGAAGTGTGGGATTGTTTTTAAAAGCAAATAAAATCATTATAAATTTTAATTACAAGAATCGTCAGATTGAATGTAGAAGGAAAGGTTTGACAAGTAAAGAGATGACAAAATGGTAGATTGTAATTTGTAAGGCGTAAAGAGGAAAAAAAAGTAAAAAAAGTAAAGTAACAGCCTGTACATGTCCCACTGCTGGGCAAAGGCTTCCTCTATACAGAGGGTATCAGGGCATAGTCCACCACGCGGCCACTGCGGATTGGCGGACTTCACATATCTTCGAAATTTTTTTTTTGTTATTATTTCTAAAATATGCAGATTTCCTCACGATGTTTTCCTTCACCGCGGAGCACGTGATAAGTCAGCACTTAAAGTTAAAAACTTCATTGGTGCCAGCACCGGGGATCGAACTCAGGTTGCTCGAGTATATTGAATTAAAGGCGAGCGCCCGGACACTGAGCTATCACGGCTCTTAAAGAGGAAAAACTAGTAATTATTTTTATATTAGTACAACAAGTCAAATAAACATAAAATAGAAAAAAAAAAGTGTTTCCATGCTCAAAGTCATATCATACAGTTTTGATGGTAAATGCAGAAACAATTATCTGTAGGCCACACAAATAGCTAAATCTCGTGTGGGAATCGAACACATGACCACTCCGGTCGTCATCATAATCCGGTGTTGATGGGTGGTGATCACTTTCCATCAGGCGAGTCAACAATAATATCGATTAACGTAAAACAAAAAAGAAATGTGTGCCGTTCAGGTTTGGCAGCGGGGCCTGGGCGTGGTCGCAGCTGGAGAGGCGTGCGAGCTATGGCCACGGGGGGCCTCGCTGGCGGCTTTGCCGGCGCGCCGTTCCCGCCACGCTGCCCCTTCAAGGGCGCACGCCCTCTCCAAGATCGTGCGGGCTGCTCAGAGGACCTCTGCCGCAGAGGAATTTATAGTCGTAAGATGCTCAATGATCAATACCAAAAACTATAAAGTTTCCATTTAAGTAAACTACAGATTACAGTTATCAGAATGATCATCTTGATGATCAGAATGTTCAATTCAAAGAGTTTAACACTGCTTTTGGCAACCCAATAAATAACTAACAATTGAAAATACCTTTGACAGCTGATTAGTTGACTTCTACCATGATCAGTGATGAACTGAATTGCTTTACAAAGGTTAATTTTATTTTTGCTCCGAGAATTGCATTTGAGAGTTGTATACTTTGCAGCTGGTATGCCGTAAACGGGACGTGCTCGCAAGCGCAGTGGGAATAGCACGTGCCGTGCCCCAGTTCAGCGCGCGGTCGGGCTCCGCCCCGCTGGGCACTGCGCCCCAGGCACCCGCCCCCTCTCGCAGGGACCTCACCGTGGAGATCGTTCTGGTGGCTGACGATAGACGCGGTGAGTGTCTAGGATTTCTCTCTGCTAATCTGTAAAAATCTCCCACAACATTGACACTGAGAGAACTGTTCTATATAATTAACATAAAGCTTATATGTGTGTATATATATATATATATATATATATATATATATATATATATATATATATATATTTACAACAAAAAATTTAAAATGTAACATATTGGCAAGACACCCATGGATATTCGCAACACCGGTTGTGTTGCAGAAACCTTGCCGCCTTTTAATAAAGTGGGCCCCGGCTCACACAGCACATGAATGGCAGAAGTATAACAATTCACGCCGGTCTTCTGTAAGGTTGTGGTACTTCCCCGGAAGACGAGAAAACGTTGCAACAGCAGATGCTGTGGAGTGGTCCTACCGCATAATAGCTATTAAATAAATGCTTGTATAATATAACTTGTTGTTAGTACATTGTATAATAATTGATATGTTTGAAATTAATTTTCAAACATATCGGTGTACACTGGTGTATTAGTGGAAGCGTTTATTATATTATCGCGTATCAGACGAATGTTTGGTGCATAAGGTATCCAGTGCGCAAACTTTTTAAAATATCCAATGCATCTGCAAGGCCTCATCTGTTGTAGATGTCCATGGCCGCTGGTTTTCACTTACCACCAGGTAAACCGGCCTGATCATTTGAATATTTTTCACATAAAAAAATTGACTAAACTAGACTTTACTAGTTTGTGCCTGTTTCAAATTAAAATGGTTGCTACACCACAGAGGGTGATTCCGACGACGAGGGCGTTGGTTCGTTGGACCCAGTACTCCTGGAGACCACGCTCAATGACGATGAGCTGAGTACGATCCAGCGCGTTGCAGACATGACCCGCCTGGCAGCCCGCATAACAGACACTCCCGCCAACCTATTCCATGTCGACGACTTTGTCGAGGTAAGCAATGCATTGTTTTAGAGCAGCTGTACTCTTCTTTTCTTTTGCAAGAATTGAAAGAGATATAACATGAGCTCTCTCTGTATAATATAATAATTGTACCTACCTATATTTTCTATTTGCTTGGCATAATTAAATAATTGACAAAGCAGTCCAGGGATAATAATGATAATGGTCATTTATTACCAAGAAAAAAGGTTACAATGTATTTAAATGCTAAACAAATATTCAAGAAAGAAGAAAATGCAGAAATTATAAACTTATAATAAAGAATCTACTGCAGTCTAACATAATTATATTTGTTTATAATTCACCATTACATCTATGATACATCCGCAGGAGGCGTGCAAGCTGGCGAAGGAGCTGGACATCGCCGAGCCGACGGTGATTCGGGGAGAAGCCCTGCGCGAGAAGGGAATGGGCGGGCTGTACGGCGTGGGCAGGGGCGCAGCCCGGCCGCCGGCGCTGGTGTCGCTCACTTACGAGGGCGCAGGCGCCACCGGCGGCGTGGCATGGGTGGGCAAGGGCATAGTCTACGACACCGGAGGCCTCAGCATCAAATCCAGGGTTGGTAGCAAATTCACTCTGTGGCTACGGAGTAGGGGTCGTGGGTTCATTTCCTATACAATAATTATGCCAACGGTTTGTGTGATCCGCAGATAATTGTTTCGGATGTGGGTGTGGGCAATGTCTTAAGAAATAAAAAAAATGAAGTGTTACCCATCACATTATTAATTTATAAATTTGTCAGTTTTGGTATTAATGTAAAACAACTGCAGGTAAAAGCACTAACTATTAAAAATAATTAATGAAATTGTTTTACTGATTTTAGCACTGTTTTTTAAGACATTAAATTTTACACCTGTAGAGAGATTGCAGATGCGTTGCCACCTTTTAATCAAGTGGCCCTAACTAACCAGACGAAATAAAGAATTATAAAGCCTCCACTTGACGCCAGTCTTCTGTGAGGTCGCCGTACTTCCACGGACGGGCCTGTCTACTCGTGCAACAGCGAAGAATGTTCAAGTCAAGTCAAAGTATATTTATTCAATATGGGCCTAACTTAAGCTCTTATTGAACGTCAACAAAAAATCTACCAAGGTTGCGTGCCCCTACCACAACTAATGGGAGATATTAGAAAAAGATATTTGTGCGCGTGTTCCAGAGCGCCATGGTGGGGATGAAGGGCGACTGTGGGGGCGCTGCAGCAGTATTAGGAGCATTCGGAGCGCTGGTGCGCCAGAAACCAAAAATGCGGCTGCACGCGGTGCTCTGTTTGGCCGAGAACTCGGTGGGACCGGATGCCACCAGGTGAGCCAGCGGTGAAGACTTCTTTTTCTTAATATCATACTTCTTTTAGCGCGTTTGAAACCTGATAGTGATCATGGCAACCGATAATAGCTTTTGACACTTACCTATATATTACTATAGTTCCAAGTTGTTTAATTCAACGGTTATAAATAGCATTTAATTTTTTTTTTCAAATACAAATTGTGCAGGCAAACAGGATAACTAACTACTAACTTATTATTCTTTTGTCACCCTAAAGTATAACTTATTAAGTGCGTACATAAGCACACATACATACGATTTTCATTTCTTTTTTTTTTCTACCAAGGTTTTTCTGTTACGTCAAAAAAACAAACACCACCTTAGTAACATGTACATTTATAATGTAACATTAACAGACAAATATACAAGGTTTCGGCTATGTTTTATACGACGGGCCGCCTTTTGATGTCAACTCTTCCTTGGGAAGCAAACACCAGATCTGGAACAATTATCTGTGGGTCACACAAATACTTGGCCCGTGTGGGAATCGAACCCACGACCTTCGACGCTGAAGTCAATAGCCTAGCTATTTGCTTACAAAAGACTAGTGGGCTTATATGTTTTTCAGTTAGAAAAGTTAACGTTACGTTACGTTTGTTTTAAAGTTACCTTTGCTTAGATAGGGAATAAATAATAATATTGTGTAGAAATCATGACGGGAAATATTTATTACTAGCTTTTCATAAAATAAATGTCATTCTTTAAATAAATGTCTTTCTTTTATATATATACAAGTAATGGAAAAGGACTATATATATATATATATATATATTAAAGAAAGATATTTTCAACCTTTTACAACACTTTTTTCCAATTAAAAAGTAATGTATGCCTTTTCTCAGGCTCTACACTGTGTACCAAAGGACAATGGCGAACTCCCATACAAATTTTTTTGCGTCTTAAGACGAAAAATGTTTAAAAATATAGGATTTAATATTCTGAATTTATCATACATACATATTGTTATTGAAGGAAGTGTGGAATTAAAGATATTTCCGTCTAAAGTTTTTAAGGTTATGTTGTATATTAGTGCTGAGTTTAAATAATAATAAAAACAATACTTAATAAAATAAACTGTGCTCTATGTAAAAAAAGGTTATAATAAACCAAACGACGCCATAGAAGTTTTCAGCACCTACAGGGTAGCATATTACATGTCTAATATTCTATTCAAATCGATCTGACAGACAGAGTATTAATTCTAAACGGCTGTTATATTTTATTGTGATGAAGTTAAAAACGATTACCAAATTAGGTAAAAGATTTTCCTTAATGATACTTTCATTATATATCGACTTTTACGGCTTTTAAAAAAACTTAGAAATAAGCCTCGATATGAAAAATAGTTAAAAAATGAAGCAGTTTTTTATATGTATTTACGTAGGTACCGTTAAGGCCTGTTATCTTCGAAGAAAAACATTTATAATATTAGATATTCCATAAATAAGAAACACTATCTTTTGAATTATTCATTCCTCATTATCTCTTATGACAATACCACCAACAAAACCGGCTAGTCCTAAAATACTTTGGTAATTCTGGTCATAGGTACCAAAAGTAATTGTATCAACACAACTTTTAAAATGCTACTTTCCTAATCAATTTTGAATTCATTTATAATTACTTATGAATTGGTAGATACTAATAAAACACATTCATATATCTTTTTATTTCACAATAATATGGTATTAAGTATTGCTTAATGATTCTCTCCATTTTAGATACAAAGGCGATACAATTCCCTTATTTAACACAAGTCATGCTTTCTTGCCCTTCCACTAACAAAGCATCCTTATTGTACAACTTGAGATTTAAATTAAAATAATATAAGCATCAATATCGCAAAGGAGTCTCTCACAAATCACAACACAATTTCCACCAAAATCACAAAACCGTCCACTTCATAATCGTTCTCAGTGATAATACCAGATCCAGTAAATTCACTAAAATTAGCTCAGCACAACTTAAACAAAAAAAATCTAGGCAACGAATAAAATCTTTAGTTTTTAGTGAGAGTGTTGCCTTATCAAAATCACAAATCCTTTAATTGGCAAAATATTGTTAAAAATCGAGTTCACAGGCTTGTTTCATAATAAACTATTTAGAAAATTAAGAATGCTTATTATTTCTTTGTTTAGTTTAAAATATACACAAATTATTTGTTATTAGCTACGTACGTTTATAGTTTACAATTGGTAAAATCATTATGTTTCAATTTTATATTCGTAACTAACGTCGTCAGCCAGACTGACAACTGTTTATTTTTTCCATTCAACCGTTTTACTATACTTGTGTTAGGTTTATGAAATAATTGTAAATCCAAAAAAAAATATTTTAATTTATAAATGGTAACTTGTTTCTTAGCGCAAGAAATGTGACTTTTTAAATAATAATTAGTATTTATGATATAAAAATATATTTTCAAAATATTAAACACTATATATAATATAAAAATATTATTATTATAGTCCCGAGTTAGGACTTGATTTTATAATATGGTAACATTAATTGCACGGCAAACAAGCCACCAATCCACCGCCGATATTCTTAGTCAATTGAGTTTTCAAAAATAAATGAATTTTTCCCTGACAAGTTTACAGGCATTTAGTATAATTTGAAAAATCTTAAGAAATTATAATATTTATATCTGTAACAATGGTAATTGTAGACGCTTGAGATTTCTCTCAACAATGTTTTCGCCATTGTCCTTTCATTTATATCAGTTCAGAAGTTTTAGTGTGAAAGCGAGACAGACTGACAGACAGAGTTACTTTCACATTTATAATATTAGTATGGATTACTATCTTTTAATTACATATTTTGTGATATCACATTGACAGACCCGACGATATCCACCAGCTCTACTCCGGTCGAACTGTCGAGATCAACAACACCGATGCAGAAGGTGAGTTTAAGTCATACATTTTCATTAAATATTAATTTTGAGCAACTCCAGTTTATACATTAAATACCAATGTATTATTGAACCCTCATGGTTATTAAACACTAATTCGGAGGTGTTGTAGTGACCTGTTCTTAGAATAAATTCATATCGCATATTTTAACATAAAAATAAGAAGTTAAGTAACATCCTATATGTCCCAATGGTGGTGGTGATAACAATTTCAAGGCAGCGGGATTCGAACTCAGGTTCATGCTTGAGTATATTGAATTATTTGCATAAAACAAAACCGACTTCAAATATCTCGCTCTGTATTCATTTTATAATTGATTTTCAGGATTTCCCTAAGTAGAGTAAGAGCCCAAGATCCAATAACAATGAAATTAATATGGGACCACATGGGAAGCACCAGCTTTCAAATTAAGAAAGAAACATCAAAATTTCACTCAGTCGAAAGTTCTGAAGTAACAAACATAAAAAAAATATAGCTGAATTGAGAACCTCCTTTTTTTAAGTCGGTTGAAAAGAGGGAAATAATGAAAAACTGAAGCTCCGAGTTCTCAGTTTGAGCCTTGGACACTGTGATGAAGAAGCTAAATGCTCTAAACAAATTGAGCTGTTATAATTTGTTACAACGTTTTCTCTCATCTTGTAAACTTATGGTATATGCTCTTATTTCAGGACGTTTGGTGTTGAGCGACGGAGTGGTATACGCCCAGAGGGACCTAAAAGCTGATACCATAGTTGATATCGCCACACTGACTGGCGCACAGGTTACAAACAATTTCATTCTTAGTTAACAGTAAGAAATAGGAAATAGGGAAATTAATAAAGGTAAGGTAATGGGCTGAAATTACTGTTAGCTTTTCCATCTCTGTATAATGTTAATTTATTAACTACTTGATTATTGCGTTTATCATGAAAATAGTGCTATACAAAACTTGATCCTCTGCCAAAACCGGCACATACTACATTTGGTATTGTTATCAATTAATAAATTTATCTTACACCGCCATCTGTTAGAATGTTATGGGACTCACATATACATACACTCTTTGTCATCTAATAAACAAACAATTTGCATTTACAAATATTGAGATAAAAACTACCCTATCGTCCAAGTTGGACCAAATTACAAATGCTTGTTTTCCGAGTTTATCGCGAACATACATCGTGACACGATTTTTTTTTTTTGAATATAAAGATTATGCACACCGCACTCACAGGGCACCGCCACCGGCAAGTACCACGCGGCGGCGGTGTGCAACAGCGCGCGGCTGGAGCGCCGCTGCGTGGCGGCCGGCGCGGCCTCCGGCGACCTGGTGCATCCGCTGCCCTTCGCGCCGGAGCTCCACTTCCCCGAGTTTAGCAGCGTCGTCGCCGACATGAAGAACAGCGTCGCGGTGATCTTGCCCCCTTTTCCTACCTTTGTCTTACCCCCTAGCACCCTATGCGGGGTGGCTTTTCTGAACGTGTTCTGACTCGCTAGTATAATCGTTTGTTGAAATAAAAATAAACTTTTTTTTTTTTTTTCAGAAAAATTGCCATTCCATTCCCTAAGGCGGTTCACCTGACGTTAAGTGAATACCGCCGCCCGTGGACACCTACTGCACCCGAGGGTTGCAGATGCGTTGGCAACCTTTTGAAAATTGGACTACCCAACGCAAACTGGACTACCTACTACGAAACGCAAAAGTATTATACTTCCACTTGACGCCGGTCTTCTGTGCGATCGTGGTGATTTACCCGGACGAGCCTGCCCATTCGTGCAGCGGCAGAGGCTGCGTGGCCCTACCACCGTAGGTTCTTCTCTTATGTCGACGTGAGGGAAATGTCTATGCATTCTCTTGCGGAGGCGAAGCCGAAGTCAAAATTTCTTAGTTTAGTACGGGCATAACTGAAATCTGCATTGCTTTTTACCTGTCGCCTGTAGTGGATTACCCATATGTATATCAGTACATATGTGTAGTGCATTACTTACCTCTTGCCTAGCATTCCACCCAAATTTAAGGGCAATTAAGTCTCAAAACTCTTATTTGTCTTGTTATTAGAAAGAATTATTAATAGAAATAGTTATTTAGAGTTTATTTTGCGTAAAAACTACTTGAGAGTACTAGACTTTATGCTGTTGTACAAGATTGGTGAAATATAACTAATTCATTGTTTATGTATCCTGTTAGGGTAAAAGTAAAAGAACGAAAGGTCTCTCGCCGCTGTGGAAATCGAACCCACGTCTTCGGCATTCGCTGCCTGACGCTTTACCCGCTAAGCTAAACGGCTGATTACCACACCGACGTAAATCTCAAAGTATTTTATCCACATTCTCTTTAGCAGTTGAAGCAATGCTTGGCGCATGTTTAATTTGTTTTAAATATATCGCAGGAGCGGAACAACGCTCAACCCTCCTGCGCTGGGCTCTTCATACTCTCCCATCTCGGGTTCGACTTCCGCGGCGAATGGCTGCACATCGACATGGCCTCACCGGCTCATTCGGTATTAAGAATTATAATAATAATAGTAATAATTAGAGAAACCACCAGACGATAAGACAAATGAATATCCTACTAATAGTAATAATTATTTATTTGCCATAACCCAAAAAAAAAATACACAGAAAAATACGAACAAAGAGAAAAAACCATATACAATAAATCTATACTACACAGCAATTTCTAAGAAATTCTCAGTGCTGATTTTCAGCTTGTCCCTTATTGGATTATGGTCTACTTACTTATCTTGATCCATATTACATATATTTAAAAAAAATCCTAAGACATCTATCAAAATTACAAGCAATCACAAAATTTCAATTAAATAATACAAGGTTGTGTTAACATTTTTATAGGTGTGATCACTTCTTTTTTATTATCAAATTAGAAGTTGTTTTATTTTTTTTTTCAAATTAATTATAAATATACAGCGTGTCGTTACCATCGCGACAATAAATGAACACGCGTCTAACGCTACTCGCCAGTAATCATAAAAAATATTAACGTTAAACAAAATGCATAATTTAAAAAAATATTTTTCAAACAAACTAATTGAGTAAAAAAGAAACAAAATTTGTAACATCCAATACAACTCGCGCCACAGCGTCGCATTACAAGCCTCTCCTTCTAACAGTATGTTTTGTCTATTTTAAATTCATTCAACCCATTCATATACTTTGTGACCTTTAAAAATGTACTTTACGTTACAATTTTATATGTAAGGGTGTTCTAAAATTCTTTGTTTTGGAAAATTTAATAACTCTGTAAATATTGATGTTTAAAGAATGTAAATGTTTAATACAATTTTAAAAAGTTATCCCCTATATAAGTGTACATTTATTGTCGCGATTGTAAAGACACGCTGTATAAGAGACAATACTTTAGTGGTTGAAGGTCCGCATATATTATTTATTCACTAGTGTCTTCTATGTTGCTTATTTGAACTACAGGGTGAGAGAGCCACTGGCTACGGAGTTGCCTTGCTGAACGTTCTCTTCGGAGGTCACAGCAACAGCCGTTTACTGCGTGCGTTGTCACCTGGTGACCTCACCGACTGACAATCCCCCAATCTGCACTGCTGGCTACCCCTGCTGTCTGTCACGGACTTATAGCAGTGACATCCTTAGTTAAGATCCTGTTACAATGAATTTGGTAATATAACTTAGTGTGGAGCGTAGAATCAATTTGCAAACAATCGGTTAAAAAGTATTCATAGTTATATAGACTGGGTACTTACATTCAGAGGAAATTGAAATGTTTTCAGTGTATTCAGTAGATGGAGCTTTTACTAAATGAAATGTCAACTTGCCAAACAAACTCTGAATAATCATAAAAAGATTGTGTAAAACACCTAATTGAATGTTAATTTTGATTATACATACAAAGGTGTGTTGAGTCAAATTAAAATAGCAAAATCAGAAAACAAGTACCCAATTTTGATAAAGATAAAAGGGGTGTTGATACTAATTTATAATTGAGTTCTGTTCAACAGCAAAAATTTCTTATAAAAGCAGAACTGCTGGCTTGCTTACTTTATAACAACACTAAACACTAGAATAAGTCCTATTGTCCAGTTGTTGTTTTGCTTCGCTAGATATTTATCATCTGTAGTGTACATAGATACACAATGTGATAAAATACCACTTGTCTGCACCATAGTCCGTGCAAATATTAGACTTGACTAATATATGTATTATAATTAAACCTGTAACTGCTGGTGCTAGAACTAACATTAGTAACATTGGATGTGGTATAATTACAGCAACAGAATTCTCTTTTATTTACTTTTTATGCGAGTCATCTATGATCGCAATAATAATGATTGGAAAGTAGTCAAACAAGTGCCTCAAAATGCGCAATATTTCTATATCTTATGATTTTTTTTGCATTGTTTTAGTCGTTAAGCTGATATATATGCTACGTACAATATTTGTATTAAAATAAAATAGGTTCAATAGTAATTAGGAAAATGAAGTACAGTGAATAGATTGTTTTACATGACTAATGCCTTTTTTCCTATAGCTTTTTTAATAACTCGCATTTAATATAGCGTATATATAAAGTTGAGAAATCATGTATTATATTTTGCTTATTTATGCATTTTTGTTATTTGACTTCTCAACTCTTGGTTTATTATGTTTTTTCTTGCTTCATAATTCATTATACATGAATTAATAGTACACTTAGTTGTAATGTCCTTAATTAAGAGACTACAATAACAAAGCAATAACAGAAAAATGTGTTCACGTAAGCCAAATGCCATGGCCGTAATTTACGCGGTTGCTGCAACCATTAGATGTCATTTAATGTTAAGGAATGAAAATGTAATTACATAATTATGTAGTGTTTAGAAATTTGCTACTCTCTTTTTAATCGAATAAAAATTCTGCGTAACACTTGCTCGTTTTTATTTGTCTAAAAATTGAATGTGTGGTCACATTAATAAGACTACTGATGCACTTTATTCAATTTTATATATACAAAAATTTTACATTCATTAATTGTGTAAAAATACTACTATCGGTTCGAAAAAAAGACTCCTGAGAAGAACCGTCGAAAGGTACTCGGTCGGCGGAAAATCTTTTTTTGTGTCATTATTTGACAGTGAAATTTTTTGTGGACATACATTTTCCTAATATGTTAAAAAAATGTATTATACAACTTCTTGATATCAGTATGGTTGTAACTGAATTTTGTGCTCTTTTAAACAAACTTGTTTTGGGTAAATATTAAATGAAACCGTTTTACGGATTTTATCGCGTTTTAATTCAAATTTCTAGTTCCCTTTCCAACGTCCATGGTCACGGATAAAAAATAAAATGCGTAAAATAGTTTCATATACAGCGTGTCGTTACCACCGCGACAATAAATAAATATATATATTCTTGTATATATATATATATATATATATATATATATATATATACAATAATTGCTCGTTTAAAGGATAAGATATGTATAAAATACGCGTAAAAATGTGGCTTTTGGGTAAAATTTAAATGAAACAACAAAATTATTTTGGTTAATTGCATTTATCAGTCGGTTCACCAATAATCATGTTGGATAATAACACTATTCAATGTATATAAAAGCAGATAAAATCCGAACTTATTTTTTTTGTATATAATACAAGGTAAAAATTTCGACTTGGTCATCAAAATACGAGTAGACAAAAAATAAATGCACCTATCGCGCCTTATAAATGGCATCAATGTCTAACTTTTTGGCAATAACCTCGTTACAAAGATATTATTAAAAAGGGATTGCACAACGCCTTTGAATATAAATTAAACACGATATTTTTAATGTTAAAATTAATCCATAAATAAATTCTGTCCAATATTACAATCTTAAAAAAATTAATTAATCTCCATTGTGACAAAGTATTATTTTGACGCTAGAATAAATATTATGACTGTATTATTAATATATCAAAAAAGCACTAAGAAAAAAATGTCAAAGAACAAAGCACGTAATATTCATATTGCTCTAACTAACCCAGAACAGTTCATTCCAAATCTGTTCTACGTGATATGTAGATATAAATGAATGAGATAGCAATTGTTATACATGAATAATCTTTATGAGAGCTAAAATTTTTATACAAGATTAATAATATACACGCGTATGTATTGACTTTTTAAAAAATAGTTGACCACACCCAAAAGGTATATCGTAGGCAATTCGCTTTTACCTAAAACATGTTAGGTGAATAAGAAATTGTATTGTCTAGAAATTATTTATTGACTGATGATGAGGCGTAAAGGAAAAAAATTCAGTGTGCAATTCATAAGTCTCTGACACCGGTTCCGTAGTTAGCGCCGCCTGCTCTATTGAGGGCATCCTTGAATTGGTCGATGTCTATTTCAGCTTGGCTCTCCAATTGCAATTCCACCGCGAAATTCTGTAATGAAAAAGAACGTCATAAAATGTGTATTACGATTATACAGTTGATTTTGTTAAACAGAATTAAATCAAAGTGAAATGCTATCGAGCTTTACATGTTTTATGCTAAGAAAAGGTAATATAAAAACTTTACACTCCAAGCAAAACAAAAAGTACTTTGCGTTTTTGTAGTGCACGTTTTTTAAAACAGGTAATGTTAGGTATAACATATATTATAATAAAAAAGTTTGTTTTCTAAATACCTTTTCTTGAAATCTATGCCAAAAATCTAACTGACAAACCTACATGAATAACAAAACAACTCGCAGGAAAATGGAACGTTATTTTCAAAGTATACATACAGCTGACAGCGACAACTGTCAAAGTCAAACCAAACCACTGTTTACCGAAAGTTTCAGCGATTTGTAGCAACGAATAATGGAAGAACTACAAAATGAAGTACAATGTAGAGAAAATCAATTGCAAGATTTGTTAAATTTACTTGGTGATTGTGATGAACCGTTACCGCAGTCTCTATTCATAAGTGGCGGTATGGCGACCGGCAAAACCTTGTGTTTAAACACTGTGCTTAGTTATTTAAGCTATAAAAACCTCACGGTTGATTGTATAGAGTGTTATTCACCTAAGATTATGTATGAGAGAATAATGAGCGGACTACAAGATGACGAAGAAGTAGATGTAAAGTGTGATTCATTATCGGACCTAATTCATCGTTTGAACGTGTTTGGTAGCGCAAAAACAACATATGAACCCGTTGTGCTGATTTTTGATCGGGCTGAAAGACTTAGAGCTATGGATCAAAGCATTATGTGCACTTTTCTACGTTTACGAGAATTTTGTAACCTCAATGTTTGCACTGTGTTCGTCACTCATCTAATTTACGATAACTTTTATTTCAAAATGGGGGCTCTAGAGCCTATACAGATATTTTTCCCTAATTATACGAAAGAAGAGCTCTTCAACATAATATTTAAGAATCATAAAACATTTCTTAACCAGTTGTTAAGTGGGCAAAGTATAGAAGATAATTTAAAAGATGAACTAGAAAAACCAGAGTTATTTGCAAATTTCCTTAATGCTTTTTTGAGTGTTTTCTATAGGCCATGTCGTGATCTGATTGAGCTGCAACACATGGCACAAATGAACTTTGTGAAGTACTGTGAGCCTATTATTAAAAAAGAAATAAAATCAAGTGACCTTAATAAACTCTGGCGTCACATATCCCCAATACTCAAATCAAATTTAGAGCTCCTTTACTTAAGAATTAGTGTTTCTAAACTCAACACAGCTTCACCGAGTAAGGAGAACAGTAATTGGACTGAATCGCAAGTATCAAACTTTGAAAATATTTTGAAGGAAGAGCTTACATCAACAAAGAGCTTTGCGCAGAGTTTTGAACTACCATACTATGCAAAATTCCTTCTTATAGCCGCATATCTCGCCAGTTACAATCCACCAAAGGAAGATAAACGATTATTCATGAAAAATCATGGAAAACAAAGGAAAAGGCTCCAGCAAGTCAGGGCAAAAGCCAAAATCAGCGAGAAACTAAGCACACAATTGGGACCAAAAGTCTTTACACTGGATAGATTATTAGCCATTTTTTACGCTATTCTAGAAGAGAAGATAGGTCTGACGAGCAATTTATTGGCTCAAATAGCAACCCTTGTAGAGTTAAAACTGATAGCGGGCAGTAAAGAAATAGATTTGGATACCGCAAAGTACAAATGTATTGTGGGCTATGATTTCATATCTGCAGTCGCACAAACAGTTGATTTCAATGTTAGGAAATATTTATATGATTTTATTTAGCAACTTTCAACTTTATTCCCTTCATTCATTATGTCTCCTTTGTAAGCATTGCTAGATAAGTTAACATTATTATTTATTGTATCTTAAATTGCATTTTTAATATAAAATGTTAAAGTGAAAAATTTTTTGCTCAATTTTTCATTGACATTACAGATAGTACAGACAAAATAGAATTTACATCATTATGATATAAAGTTATTTTCAATGTTACAATTCCCCCATTTAAAATATGTCTTTGTTAAAATTATTTCTCTAGTCTATCAATCTTCTTGTGTTCAAGAAAACTATATTTATCCCTTGACATCCATCCGGACAAATTTATGATAGTTCCAACACATTACAATACTTGTACCAATGAAATAACTAAAGAAGGAAGTTTATGAACCTGTTTCCTGGTACACTTCAGGATGATAACAATTATATTTTTGCAGTTCATTTTTTGGAAACACATAAATCTTGTTCATATTCTTGACAACCAAGTAAAATGAAAGTTGTAAGAAGAGTATCAGATGTGTACCCTTATGCCATCTGAGGGTTTGTTTTTACATCGCATTTAACCCTCACTCTCCATATGAATCACGAAATTATAAGAATTTCACTTCAACACCAGCCAACTGTGAAGTTATGGTACTTTTCCAGATGAGCCTGCCCACTCTTGAAACTTCTGAAAGTACTGTGTGTACTCAGGTATAGCGGTTTATCCGTAGCAGGATAGACATGAGTTCTCCAGGGTGTTATTTTACCAACTGTAACTATGACCTTGGCAGTTTCAATGTGCTATCGGAAGGAGTTAGGAGTAGTAATAAATAAATGAAAGTAATTATTGCTCGAATTAATGGGACTACTGCGAGTCTTATGAGTGATGAGTCTGATGTTAAGCGATAACCGCCGCCCATGGACATTTGCAACACCCGTAGGTGCAGAAGCGTTGCCACCTTTGAATAAAGTGGGCTCCGGCTAACTTACTCACCAGACGAGACACAGAAGTTTAACACTTCTACTTTACCGGACGGACCTGCCCATTCGTGCAACAGTGAATACCATTGCGTGGTCCTACCACAGTTATTCCTTGCTTCCACAGAACATTCTGTCACGCACCTCAACTTTGTAAAATGAACTGTCGCCAGCGACCTTCAAGAGGTGAGCCTATTACTATCTCAAAAGCCGGCATCGCATCTTCGGGTGTTGCAATGTCCATGGGCTCACTAACCATCAGGTGATCCGCTTGCTCGTTCGCCATAAAGATGTATGGATATGCAAGCATCATATGGTGGTAGAAGGGAGTGAAGGGGGGGGGAGTGGCGAGTGGGAATAGAACGAACACTCACGGATATGATGTCCTTGATGATGGCCTTGTCGGTGGACATTTTGGCGCGGTTGATGACCGACACGTTGGGCCCCACCCACGTGACGAACAGGAACTTGCGCCGCTTCGACATCTCGTCGCCCATTTGCAACCTGAGCGAAAAATCAAATCAAATAATTTATTCATCGAAATGAGAAATATAAATTTCATCTCCATATCGACAGTAATTTTTTAACCGACTTCAAAAAGGAGGAGGTTATTAATTCGGATGTTTATATATATATATATATATATATATATATATATATATATATAGTATATATCAGTATATGGGTTAGATTTTTAGAATTTAGTATTGTTTTTAACTTTTTAGAGCTAATAGCTTTTTTCTAGCTAAAAGTCGGTTCGCTTCTTATTATTTTTTTGAAATCGAACACCGGTTCGTAATGAGGTCCCTCTAACAGAGAAGAAACAGGTGAAAGAAACCCCGTATCCACTTTTATCTAATTTTTTTTTTCTCAACATATTAAAATATTATACAGTACGGTATAATACAGACATGTATATTTTTTTAGTAAAAAATAAATAGAGGAATAATTAGTATTTTAATGCAGTCGGGTTAATTTTTACTGTTGTTATCCTGCCAAAAATGGTAATGTGTTTCGCGCGTATTATTTCGGCACAAACTACAGCATACAATTTTTAAGGATATAAAATATAAAAGATCATTGGATTCTTCTTAGTTGTAGCAGTGTCCGGGCGCTCTCTATAATTTAGTAGACTAGAGCAACCGGAGTTCAAACCCTGGTGCAGGCACCAATGAAATTAATTGGATGCCGATTTGTCACGTGATCAACGGTGAAGGTGGAACATTGATTCGTCACTCTCCAAACGTGGTCGTTTGCGTTCGACGTCTACGTACCGATTCGTCATTCGTCAGTGACTTCTGCGTACCGATTCGTCATTTGTCAAGAGACATCTCCGTACCGACTTGTCATTCGTCAAGTGACGTCTCCGTACCGATTCGTCATTCGTCAAGTGCTGTCCCCGTACCTGAGGTAGCCGAAGGCGCGCTCGTCGTCGGCGAACTGCTTCCGGAACTCCGTGAAGTCGCTGCCGCGGGCAGAGCACACGATCCGCGAGCCCTCAAACTTGAACACGGCCCTAAAAAAATAAATGTAATAGTATCAAGAGAATCGACGGCAACCACACCTTTCCGATTGCAGTTTCTTTAGCGTTTGTCACAAGCGCTTTAGAAATATTCAACAGTACAATTATTTGCATAATTAGCATAAAAATAGTTATTACATATTTTTTGTGAGAAGGTGGCAAGCGAGCTGGCGGCTCACCTGATGTTAAGTGATAACTGCCACCCATGGACAATTGCAATACCCGTGAGGTTGCAGATGCGTTGCCACCTTTTAATAAAGCGTGTCCCGGCTACCTCGCTCACCATACGTAACGCAGAACTATTACACTTCCCCTTCACGCCGGTGTTCTGTGTGGGGTTGAGGTACTTACCCGGACGGACATGCCCATACGTGCTACAGCTGAAGTTGTTGCGTAGCCCTACCACAGTAAAAGATGTTTAAAATAATACCTGCTTAAAACATATATATTTATACGCGCGGACAGAGGAGCATAATATTTCCCACACATTCAGTTTATATGCAAAAGGAGAACTAATATATTTTTTTTAAATTATGCATAAAAAATACATGAAAGCTTTAAAAAAAAGCATTACACACAGCACCATGTATAATTAATAATTATGGTTGAATTTACAACATTGGGTGACCTCTAGTTTACTTCCCCATTTCAATCGAATCCGGGAAGGAGTCCGTACATTCAAAAATTTATTACTTGGCATACGTTTTTTTTTTTTTTGACAACAGGAACTAAAAAGAAAATATCGTTATATCGATATTTTCTCTTCGATAAATCGAGGCTGATATTAATATTTTTATAAATATCGATATATTTCTTCACTTTCGACATCCCTAATGGCATTTCTAAATAGTGCTGGCGGTTGGGGGCAGAATGTGATGGTGAGTGTGGTGGGTGGTGGCTCACCATTCGGTGGGGGTGCCGTCGGAGCGCACGTCCTCGTACGCGGAGCGTATCGTATCGCGGTCCAGGCCAGTCGTCATGGCAACCTGGTTACAAAAAGACACAAATCAGATATAATTTTTTATATATAAATATCTGTTGGCGGCTCCAAAAACCGGCGAAGTGCGAGTCGGACTCACGCACGAACGGTTCCGTTCGATTATCTATTAAAACGACAAAAAAAAATCATGTCGGTTGTATGAGAGCGTCACTAGTTTTTTTTAATTCTATTTTTTAATATTTTCTGTTATAGCTGCAACAGAAATACATTATCTGTGAAAATTTTAACAGTCTTACTATTACGGTTCATGAGATACAGCTTGGTGACAGACGAACAGACAGCAGTCTTAGTAATAGGGTCCCGTTTTACCCTTACGTTTGGGTACGGAACCCTAAAAATTATGGCAGAGACAGAAACACGCTACATTGATATGAAAATTACAAACTATCGAGGGTACGAGGAACCCATGGCCAAAGTATAACAGAACCTCGAAATCTATACTGATGAATATTACGTAGATTCTTTTTTTTTTATAAACGAACAAACTTAGAAACCCCCAGAAAATACTCATATAAACATTGATACTGTCTACTAAAGGATTGCAGCTTCATTTTCAATAATAAATTTAATCAAAACCTTTAAAAAAGTATGCCTTTAAAAAAGTAAAGTTTTCTGTGAGGCCGCAGCTGCTGCTTGGCTCTACCACAGCTTTGTTCGTAAACGTTGACATTGATTTGATTATTTGACTAGATAGATATAGCTGCCACACATATCTAACAAATTACCAAGTAGTGCTATCTCAAACTTCCTGTATACCTTCGACGAGGTGGAAACCTCTGAATGGCAGGACTCTACGTCCTGTACATCATCACTGGGACACGAGTTATCCTCCTTGCCCTCCTTCACGATTGCGTAAAGTTCATCTATGCGTTTCTTTAAGGTGTAGATGTCGCCGCGAACTCTCCGACGGTCCGCCGAACATTCCTCTAAAGCGTTCATCTTCTCGGAGTACTGCGATATGATGCTGCGCAACTCCTCCACATTGCCGGACAACGCTTCGAATTTCGCCACGATAACTTTCTGATCGTTCGCCAATTTAGCAATATGGTCTTGGACAGATTTGAAATTCCCCTCAGCGTGGGCCGATACGCCCTCCGCGTTCATTTTCGCTTGTGTTTCGGCTGATATGTTGTTTTCACAGAGCTTTGTGCATTGTTTTGGATAAATGTTTTGGAATATCGATATATAAAAGGCCACCTACGATCTACGATTTGAATTATTTCATTTTATTGCACGTGACACTTGTTGCTTTTTCTTCGATCTGTCAACATCCCGCCAGATTTCTAGTTGATTGAAATGCGTACGTATGAAGGCCTTATCGAATTTACGATTGTAATGTCTGTGGTTTCCACTCTTCTCGGCTTTGATTCATTTAAAGCAAACAGGGGTACTAAATTGGATGAGGGGCTTAGCAAAGTTACCTTAATTTGCCAGGTCTATATGAAGTATTTGTTTTAATTGTGAAAGTACCTATATTGAAGTGATACTTCTTCAGAATCGCTGGCTTCAAGGTCGTTGAACCAAAAATGCGTCACGTCATAGAGACAAACACATAAATATACATATAGGGTTATGCCCACGCACGAGAGAGAGATTTGAGCCAGACTTCCTAGCCTCCCCACTCTCGTCTACTAAGCATTTCACATATTATGTGCGTTTTTATCTACCTAATAAATAAAGTACAAGTATTCCGATAACCGATGTTGAAAGCAGTCATGAGTATCGGCGTATAATATTGATATGTAGAATATTGAAACTATATCATTTCTTTCCTATTTTATTTACCATATTAGCGTCTCGTGCTATTTATAGTCAAAGAAAGGAGACTGAATAATATTTTATATAAAAGTAAAAGAAAAAGTAAAGTAAATACTCATCTCATTATCTACGATTTTCAACTACTAGGGTAATCAATATCCTCGGTAAAAGATTTATACTAGAAACTGAACGTGCTACATTAATATTTTGAGGTGATGTACCTACTACTTATATTGGATTTACCTAATTAATATTTTATGGAACATGTTAAGATGATTTAAAAGAAAAAGCATATTTATGGGTGGTAATTCATAATTTTGTTCACCATACATGTTTGACGACGTAACAAGCGTACGTACCGTACATATAATAGGTTTACTGCAAAAAGCCCTTAAGCCAGTGATTAGAGTAGTAGTAATGTTAGTATTTATATAAAACGAGTTATTTAGAAATATGTTATTGTCAGTATGTATTCCCATTAAAATATCTACATAACGAGATGCACGTATAGGGGTATATATAATTATTAAGCTCCCAAGCAATGTGATACTCAAGTCCTCTAATTTATATATAATATCTGTTAATGACCTTTAATACCTGTAAAGAAGTGTCATCAGCTTTAATACAAAAATTAGAACCTTTAATAAACCTATTGGTCGCAATTCAACTGTAATCTGTGAAAAAAATTAGGTATGGGCAAAAAATATCGATATATTAAAATATTGATAATTTTCAAACAATTAGCGATATGTATAGTTGATATATTTCAATATTTATTTTAGAGTAGCGAATTAATGTCAATTTCGATATATTATTATCGCATCTCTGATTTCTTGTTTAATAATACGAGATATACTTTGGATACTTTAAAAATCGTTAACTTTAAAAAATCCAGCCACAACCTTTATTAAATACAATATAACAAGTCTACTACTACCCTGAAGTTAAGAAAATAATTACTTTGTTGAAAAGAACTCAAAAAAAATTAATTTTCTGTTAACAAATTAATTATTTTCTTCATGTCTATTCTTTTTTTTAAGAATTTTGAATGATTTGGAAATATGTATGAATAATAATGCGAAAACTATCATCGATATTTTACATTCGATAATTAACGATATTTTAAAAATTTCGATACATTTTTTTTGCTTGCCCTTCCCTAAATGATTTACACAGTTTTACATTAAAAGTAGGAGCGTACTACGATTGCTATGAAACGCATGGTATTCTGAGGCAATTTTTTTTATTTCAAATTAAAAAAAAAAACCTATGATAATATTAGATTTCTCCAACCTAAATTGCCAAATTTCAGCCCCCGTTAATTCGTGCTTTTTAATTTTTCATATTATATACAGCGTGTCGTTACCATCGCGACAATAAATGAACACCCGTCTAACGTTACTTGCCAATAATCATAAAAAAGTATTAACGTTAAACAAAATCCATAATTAAAAAAAAATATTTTTCAAACAAATTAATTAAGTAAAGAAGAAATAAGATTTGTAACACCTATACAACTCGCGTCACAGCGTCTCATTACAAGCCTCTCCTTCTAACAGTATGTTTTGTCTCTTTTAAATTCATTCAACCCATTCATATGCTTTGTGACCTTTACAAATGAATTTTACGTTACGCTTTTATAGGTAAGGGTGTTCTAAAATTCTTTTTTTTGGAAAATTTAATAACTCTGTAAATATTCATGTTTAAAGAATGTAAATATTTAATAAATTTTAAAAAGTTATCCCCTATGTGTATTCATTTATTGTTGCGATTGTAGACACGCTGTATAATATGATGATAAATCGCCATACACGAGTCGGGTGCGACAGAACGAATATTTCTAACGTAAACAGGAAGTTACGTTGTTTACAAACCAGCGCAGAGAATTTCAAAATAAATCAGACGTGTGTAGATAAATTAGATTTATTGAAACTAATCAGATGAAAAAAAAAAGATTTGAAAGCTAAAAATTTGAGTTTATATTTTTTTTAAATACTTATATTAAGAAAATCTAGGAATCTGATATTAAAGGTGATGTCAAGTACCAATCATATAATTTAACCAAAACCAAAACGGCAGTAACAGAAATTGTAAAAAGTTATAAAACATGTATTATTCAGTGTACATTAAGAAACGCAAGGAAATTATACCAATAAAAGGTTTATTGAGATCTAAAGCAGTTTTATTCATCTACTACATTGAAAGGAATGCAAGAAAAAAAAACTGTTGTCCAGTGGTTGGTTTATTGGCCACCACGCAAGCGAAGCACCAAGTGGAGCGTCGACTCTTTTTGGATATTGTAGTCGGAGAGAGTGCGTCCATCTTCCAGTTGTTTGCCGGCGAAGATTAAACGTTGCTGGTCTGGTGGGATGCCTTCCTTGTCCTGGATCTTGGCCTTAACATTCTCGATTGTGTCCGAGGGCTCAACCTCCAATGTGATGGTCTTGCCTGTCAGGGTTTTTACGAAGATCTGCATACCACCTCGCAGACGCAATACCAAGTGAAGAGTGGATTCCTTCTGGATGTTGTAGTCAGAGAGAGTGCGTCCATCTTCCAAACTGCTTGCCGGCGAAGATCAAACGTTGCTGGTCTGGTGGGATGCCTTCCTTGTCCTGGATCTTGGCCTTAACATTCTCGATTGTGTCCGAGGGCTCAACCTCCAATGTGATGGTCTTGCCTGTCAGGGTTTTTACGAAGATCTGCATACCACCTCGCAGACGAAGGACCAGATGAAGTGTGGATTCCTTCTGGATGTTGTAGTCGGACAAGGTGCGGCCATCCTCCAGCTGCTTGCCAGCGAAGATGAGACGTTGCTGGTCTGGGGGGATGCCCCCTCCTTATCCTGGATCTTGGCCTTCACATTCTCAATCGTGTCAGAGGGCTCAACCTCCAATGTGATGGTCTTCCCGGTCAAGGTCTTCACGAAGATCTGCATACCACCTCGCAGACGAAGCACCAGATGCAGTGTGGATTCCTTCTGGATGTTGTAGTCGGACAAGGTGCGGCCATCCTCTAGCTGCTTGCCGGCGAAGATGAGACGTTGCTGATCTGGGGGGATGCCTTCCTTGTCCTGGATCTTGGCCTTTACGTTCTCGATTGTGTCCGAGGGCTCAACCTCCAATGTGATGGTTTTCCCTGTCAAGGTCTTCACGAAGATCTGCATACCACCACGCAGACGCAATACCAAGTGAAGAGTGGATTCCTTCTGGATGTTGTAGTCAGAGAGAGTGCGTCCATCTTCCAACTGCTTGCCGGCGAAGATCAAACGTTGCTGGTCTGGTGGGATGCCTTCCTTGTCCTGGATCTTGGCCTTAACATTCTCGATTGTGTCCGAGGGCTCAACCTCCAATGTGATGGTCTTGCCTGTCAGGGTTTTTACGAAGATCTGCATACCACCTCGCAGACGTAATACCAAGTGAAGAGTGGATTCCTTCTGGATGTTGTAGTCAGAGAGAGTGCGTCCATCTTCCAACTGCTTGCCGGCGAAGATGAGACGTTGCTGGTCTGGGGGGATGCCTTCTTTATCCTGGATCTTTGCTTTCACGTTCTCGATTGTGTCAGAGGGCTCGACCTCCAATGTGATGGTTTTCCCTGTCAATGTCTTCACGAAGATCTGCATACCACCTCGCAGACGTAATACTAAATGAAGTGTAGACTCTTTTTGAATGTTATAGTCGGACAAGGTGCGGCCATCCTCTAACTGCTTGCCGGCGAAGATGAGACGTTGCTGGTCTGGTGGGATGCCTTCCTTGTCCTGGATCTTGGCCTTCACATTCTCAATCGTGTCAGAGGGCTCAACCTCCAATGTGATGGTCTTGCCTGTCAGGGTTTTTACGAAGATCTGCATACCACCTCGCAGACGCAATACCAAGTGAAGAGTGGATTCCTTCTGGATGTTGTAGTCAGAGAGAGTGCGTCCATCTTCCAACTGCTTGCCGGCGAAGATCAAACGTTGCTGGTCTGGTGGGATGCCTTCCTTGTCCTGGATCTTGGCCTTTACATTCTCGATTGTGTCAGAGGGCTCAACCTCCAATGTGATGGTCTTGCCTGTCAACGTCTTCACGAAGATCTGCATACCACCTCGCAGACGAAGGACCAGATGAAGTGTGGATTCCTTCTGGATGTTGTAGTCGGACAAGGTGCGGCCATCCTCCAGCTGCTTGCCAGCGAAGATGAGACGTTGCTGGTCTGGGGGGATGCCCTCCTTATCCTGGATCTTGGCCTTCACATTCTCAATCGTGTCAGAGGGCTCAACCTCCAATGTGATGGTCTTCCCGGTCAAGGTCTTCACGAAGATCTGCATACCACCTCGCAGACGCAATACCAAGTGAAGAGTGGATTCCTTCTGGATGTTGTAGTCAGAGAGAGTGCGTCCATCTTCCAACTGCTTGCCGGCGAAGATCAAACGTTGCTGATCTGGGGGGATGCCTTCCTTGTCCTGGATCTTGGCCTTTACGTTCTCGATTGTGTCTGAGGGCTCGACCTCTAAGGTGATGGTCTTTCCTGTGAGAGTTTTAACGAATATTTGCATACCACCTCGCAGACGAAGCACCAGATGAAGTGTGGACTCTTTCTGGATGTTATAGTCGGACAAGGTGCGGCCGTCCTCCAACTGCTTACCGGCGAAGATGAGACGTTGCTGATCTGGGGGGATGCCTTCCTTGTCCTGGATCTTGGCCTTAACATTCTCGATTGTGTCTGAGGGCTCAACCTCCAATGTGATGGTTTTCCCTGTCAAGGTCTTCACAAAGATCTGCATACCACCTCGCAGACGCAATACCAAGTGAAGAGTAGATTCCTTCTGGATGTTATAATCTGACAAAGTTCGTCCATCTTCCAACTGCTTACCAGCAAAAATTAAGCGCTGCTGGTCTGGTGGGATACCCTCTTTATCTTGAATTTTAGCCTTGACATTTTCAATTGTGTCAGAGGGTTCTACTTCTAAAGTGATGGTCTTGCCAGTGAGAGTCTTCACAAAAATTTGCATACCACCTCTTAAGCGGAGCACCAAGTGAAGAGTTGATTCTTTTTGGATATTGTAGTCTGATAATGTGCGTCCATCTTCTAATTGTTTACCAGCAAAGATCAACCTCTGCTGATCAGGGGGAATACCTTCTTTGTCTTGGATCTTGGCTTTAACATTTTCTATTGTGTCTGAAGGTTCCACTTCTAATGTGATAGTCTTCCCTGTCAAGGTCTTCACAAAGATTTGCATGCCTCCCCTCAAACGCAGTACTAAGTGAAGGGTGGACTCCTTTTGAATGTTATAATCTGAGAGGGTGCGCCCGTCTTCTAGTTGTTTGCCAGCAAAGATAAGACGCTGCTGATCTGGGGGGATGCCTTCTTTGTCCTGGATTTTCGCCTTAACATTCTCAATGGTGTCAGAAGGCTCCACTTCCAAAGTGATGGTCTTGCCTGTAAGGGTCTTGACAAATATCTGCATACCACCACGCAGACGGAGCACTAAGTGCAGGGTAGACTCTTTCTGGATATTGTAGTCTGAAAGAGTACGTCCATCCTCAAGTTGTTTGCCTGCGAAGATCAGTCTTTGCTGGTCTGGGGGAATGCCTTCTTTGTCTTGAATCTTAGCTTTAACATTTTCTATAGTGTCAGAGGGTTCAACCTCCAATGTGATGGTCTTGCCCGTCAAAGTCTTCACGAAAATCTGCATCTTGTTCTGTAAACAAGATTTAGCATAAATTAAGTTTGTTGTATTTATGTAATTAGAAAAAAACATTTCCTATGATTCATAGCTTTTTATTACTTCAGTAGAGAAAACCTACCAACTACTACAAAGATAGATTACTACCATTTTAGTTTTCATCTTCATTTGCAATTGTGTATGGATTTTTTAAATAAATTAAAATAACTATTTTGATGGATTAAATCTAATTTTTATATCAACTTAAATTATTACTATAATATACGATATTTCTTTCCATAACACTAATCATTATCATAATATTACACTAATGCTGTTTTATGGCGGCTTTGCTTTTATTAGTCTTTAAATTGCTAAAGAACGAATTTATTTATGAATTTGTTTCAATATAAAAGAAATTAACTGTAACAAAGGACAATAGAAAGATGGCGGACACACGGCGTCCCTTTGACCTCCTTTCTACACTATACCTTATTTTTAAAATTAAATTCTGAAATTTGGGTGAATAATATAATTTACCTAGAGATGTATCGATGTAAAATTACATAAAACATCGTACCAGTTCTGTTAAATTTTAATAAAGCAAGTTATCAAACCACATTATTATTTCTACTGATGTAATGAAAATATAGATGAATAACTGTTCAATAAAACAACCAGTATTATTCATTGGAATATGACTATATTACAGAAATGTTTCATCAGCGAGCGATCAATACCATGAAACCACGTCAGACAAGATGGCTGGCGTTTATTAGAATCCACTGCGCAATTCAGCGAACGCCCTAAATTTTAATAATGAAAATTAACAAAAAAATGTAGTCGAACTTACCGATTCACTAGGATTTATCCAAAAACTAGAATTTCTATATAATCAGCAACTTTAAAATAATTATATGAATGATCACAAACAGACTTCGTCACACGTCTTATTCCTTTTTTCACTCTCTTGTTAATGCGAGAGCGGGAGAGGGGCGGCCGCTTTTATACACATGAAGTAGACGTCGATCAATACGTAATGCAGAAAACGATGAACCCCGAAGGCGATGAACTATGTAGTCATCTCTTTCTATGAAACGTTCCGAAAAAGAGATAGCAATACACGACACGAACGTTCTAGAATCGGGGCGAAGTTTTTCCTTTGTGACGCAGAGATGAAACGAAAGGAACTGAAGCAAAATTGCTTGATTTCAAAGAAACAAAGACAAATATTTTTGCAAAAAGTTTTTATTTAGAGCTTTATTACAAATCATTGTAACAGTTTATGAACTAATAGCTAAATTTTCAATTTAGACAAAGAATGGCCTCGGTTTACTTAGTTTTATTTGATTAGGGTAAAATGTTCTTGTTATTAATCCAATTAGACACGGAATAGACTTAGAAAAAAATATATGTTTAATTACCTTTGCACGTATACTTACGTAAATAGTTATTATTAACATGTTATTGTTTTTTGCATTTTTGAGTTAAGTATTACTTAAATGTGATTTTCATCACACCATGGAATCACCGAAGATAAATTACATAGACATTGTACTCTTAACAGAAAATATATTAAAGCATAACATAGATAATAGTCTCAGCTTTGAGATGAATGTAATATAAAACGTTAGCTACTTTGGAATTTTTTTGAGACTAGGTATTCTTAGATTATCCGCAATATATCGTAAACTAGGCTTCCAGGAAATGTTTACGAGGCCATTGCAATACTTTCAACACTTTATTTATACTTTAATCAGTCTCGTTATCTTATTAGGGTTTGCCTGCGTGATTTTAAATCACCGTTAAGCTTACTAATTACTACACGATTCTCCCGTACAATTAAGTTTCTAGAATTTACGCGTTATGTTAAAATTATTCATTTGTTATATAATACTATTAAATGATATTTTATTTGACGACATAAAAATGTAAGTACCTAACTACATTATGAACATACATATGTTTACAGAATGGGTAACAAAAATTCGTAATAATAATAATCCGTCTAGAAGGTACTTTTTTATTTATTTATTTAAAGTACAACCACATCACATAGACTTTCTTTTTATATTAAATGAGATAAAATATCTAAAATAGGTTTATTAAAAATATGTTGCATTCTTGTAAATACAAGAGACCTTCACTGTTAAATTTAAAAAAAAAAATCATGTTAGACTTACAATGTGTACGGAAAATAACTACATTTCGTAAGCTTATAATAGCACACATCATGAATTATTATGCAATTTATCGATATGATATAGGTATTGACATAACTGAGTCACATACACACCTTTAGGATAAAAATCAATTAATTATTATATTCAAACAAAAAGATAACACGTGAATAATGTCTCTAAAATAACAATTGCGCAGGTAACTTTATCAGAAATGAGAAAGCAAAATATTATTGTGCACAACGCATAAGTTTACGTATTGCGTACTCGTATTTGCGTTGCGCGCGTGTCCTATAAATATATACATAGATACACGTGCGCGATTGTTAAAATAATTTTACAACGAAAGAACATGAATATAGAACAATAAGTAATAATAACACAAATACTTGTTAACATTTTGAGCATGGATTTAATGGGTAGTACCTACTTAATTTTTTAAATTTTCACTTCCTTGAATTTGATTAAATCACATCACTAATTCACTACTACGTACGTACCTATATAGAAGTAAAAAAAAAATCAGTTTTAAGATTCCACCCGGAAAAATATTCATACATTGCAAGTTAATAAAAAGCTTGTTAAATAGTAGACGGACTTCATATTTTCATAATTATGTTACCTATTACCTCATTAATACTTTTAAAATTAAATGATACTTACCCTTTTTTTTAAATCAATAATAACATTATCGCCTCATGTGTGAGTCATAACATGTCGCAATTTTCCCTACAATAAAAGCAATTGACACATTAATAATAGATTCAATATGATCTATATATATAGTATGATATGTTAATTAAATAATTTTATGATAGGAAAAATGACCAGGGATGGGATATGCAACACATAGCAGTCGGTGTGAGGTCGAAGAACCGTATATTTATCAGTTCAAGTGGTAAAATTTAATTAATACCATTAGATTCAATTAAGAACTCATACGAACTTAATAAATACATTAACCTAAATCTAAATTTCATTTAGAAATTTGATTAGATTAAAAAAAAGAAAAAAATTGACTAAATTTATTCTTCATCAAGATTATTAAATTCTAACTTAAATTCTCAGAATACAGAAAGAACTTTCTGTACTATACAGGGTGATTTTTTAGACGAATCTTTGATATAATATTAATTGAGCATTTCATAATTTTAAAAAAATATTAATTTTTTATTTTGACAAGAAATAACCAGAAAAATATCAATTCAAACTTGCCGTTAACTTGAGTGGTCACCCTATTGTTAAGCGGTTTAGTAATTAGGTGTTCAGCGAAAAGTTTTAGTGCTTGAGAATAGGTTTTTGTATTGAGACGGTAAGGCAGGAATTTCTAATAGGGTCTGTAATGTTTGAAAATATTAAAAATAATCTTTAAAAAAAAATGAGGTCACAAGTATATACAGTTTCAGATTTAGAATCAAATTTTGCATTTTGCTCTGTTATATATAATAATATAATATTTAATATATAATATGATAAATCAGCACTCAAAAACAATTTCATTGGTACTGGCACCGGAACTTGAACTTAGGTTGCTCATTAATAATTACGGCGAGCACCCGGTCACTGAGCTATCACGGCTTTAGTAGTAGGGTTTCCTAATTGACTTGTCAAATATGTAATTTTAAATACATTTAATCTTGTAAATATTATATCAATAAAGATTGTATACTTTTAATTAAAAAAACAAAAAAAAACAATTAATATGTTAATTTTAATTGATATTTCATTATAGTGTCTTAAGGGACGCAATAGTTCAATCATTGTTAGATATTAATCGCAGTACAATTAAAAAAAATGAAGTAACTACAATCATTTTAACGAAATCGTTATCTCTCTGATGATATATTTAGAACTAATTACTGAAATATAAATGAAAAACTGTCAGAATTGATGGAAATCAATTAAAAAATTTACTACATTTAATGGTTTCTAGCCAAGTATTATTTATGAAACCGCTTTAATACACACAATAAGCGTAATTATAATTATAACCTGGATACGAATATATAACATTATTGACAGTGACACTTTCGAGAAAGAATAGAATATTGGAGACGTTAATGGAAATCAGACCATTGTAATATGTTTATCACGGATGTTTATATAAAATGTCATTGAGACCTTCGAATGCTCTTCGAAGATTGTTTCATTGCATAGCCTCAACGTTTCGTATAATTCAAATATTTATGTATTCAATTGTATTCTTATCAACTATTTGTAATTGATTATTGTCGAATAATGAAAGTAGGTGAACAGTTTTTCACATTATCTATTCCGTATAATTATATTATTCAGATAAACTTGTTTGTCAGTGTTCATATTACGACATACTTATCAGGTAAAACTAGGTAAAAAAACGTTTTCCGTTGCCTTCATGAATACAATGAACAAATGAACATGACTCGCTATTCTCGGTAAAATAAAACGTTCTCCTCGAAATAATAATTCTTGTGTTGGAAATGCTGTGTACATTTTAGCGACACTCGTCAACAAAGGAAGTAAACTCGGAGAACAGTTAAATCTACATTTTGTATTGTTATTAGAAGTACCGTTTTCAGACCGTCCAAGTGGTATTAAGCTTTGCCGCAAGATGGCGTTAAAAGTATATTTTTTTTAAAAGGTGGTCTAATAAATTTTTTAAATGTTATGTTATAATTTCAAAACAATGTTAGACCCTAAGCTTTAACATTACATAAAATTTAAAACTTTAAATTTTAGACATTATAATTTCATGTTTTTTAAACAAATTTCAATTATGTAATGCATTTATCCACAATTTAAAATACTGCTCTCGTATATGCATATATGCAGATAATGCAAGTTGTATATTAATAATGAAACATATCGATAATATAGATATAGAATCGATAATATAAATAAGAAACATATAGATTACTTGAGTCAAGAAATTTTGAAACAATAAATAAAGACGTAATGGGAAAAAATACCTGCATTAGGGGTATATATGTCTAATAAATCGGAGGATATTATTAAAAAAAAGGAAATTTTTCAGGTGAAACTGTTTCTTGTGTTATTGAGCGAAAAATCTAATATAAGAAATCGTATTAAAAAATATTGATCCGCTTGACTGTGCCCAAGAACCGTGAAGACTGAATTCTCTTTCTTGCGTCACTTTCTTTTCAGTGAAAACTAGTTTACTGTGCTTATTTATCGTCTTTTAATTTCTTGATTGTTAAACTTAACATAATTAAATAATAATTTTGGTTGTATATAAAATAAAATGTCATTTCTAAAAATGCAATATTATGTGACAAAAGCGCCATCTTTTGTTCCCATGTTATTGAAAGGAGCCTTTTAAGTGTCTTAGATAAAATAATGTATAGCATAGGCATAGGTGTCACCGATTGAAATAACTAAAATTTTTAGTCATTAATTGCTCGAGTTTTAGTTTTTAATGGTTTTTCAGTTCACTAAATTTCAAGTGACTTAGAACTAAAGTACGACGAAATTAACATTGTTCGTAAACACTTAAAATTCATATATCGTTAAGTCAAGGTTAGGTTAAGGTTATTATACGTAAAGTTCGCCAATCCGCAGTGGGGTCGCGTTATGGATTATGCCCTAATACCCAGTAACCTCTATACAGAGAAGACCTTTGCCCAGCAGTGGGATATTTATATATATATTATGAGAGAAAGTGGCAAACGAGCTGGCGGTTCAGCTGATGTTAAGTGATAACCGCCGCCAATTGACATTTGCAACAACCGTACGGTTGCAAATGCATTGCCCTTTAAATTAAGTGGGCGTTACCTCACCAGATGAAATGCAGAAGTGTAACAACACTGCTACATCGCATTCTGTGAGGTCGTGGTACTTTTCCTGCCCATTCGTACAACAGTTAACACTAGTGCGTAGCCTTACATTACTTGTTACTTTTACCAAGTAATACACATTTACCTAACTATAATTTACCAAGAGTTTCTATATTCACATAATATATAACACGTAATTTATCAAGTGTTTGAAACGAATGTAATTATTAAGCTTACAGCTTATATTCTAATTGCATTTGATTAAATCCCCACAGTAGCCCCAAAGTAGGGGCTTCCTTTACTAATTTTAATTTAATTTGCGAATTCATGTCGCAATGAATTGAGTGTTTCCTAATTAAGCTTACAATACAATTAACTAATTCGTAAAACATTATGTTGTATTAGTTAATTGGATGTTATTAATGGAATTTTACATAGTTGTCATTAATTTGCGCACACTTTTTGGATGGTCATTAACATATACGAGTAATTAGGAATATACTTCACGTGTAAATTTTATCGGCACTGGTGTTTATCTGCCGTGAAAATACTATCGTCTCTTCAAAGAAATACACCTCAGAGTGACAACTGACGATAAAAATTATACATTAATATACTTTTTAGTAAAATATATATTACGTTTCGTCCACATTAAAAGAAACAAGGATTATTCTTATTAGAACATTTATTGTATTAAAATTTGTAGAAAACTTGTACGAGAAGTTTTCGGACGCTGCGGGAATCGGACCCACGTCTTCCGGATTCGCGCCCAGACGTTTTCACTACTAAGCTGGACGGTGGATTGCCATACCGACGAAAATCTCAACGTATTATGTCTACATAATTTTTTGCATTTTAAGCAATGCCAAGCATTGCTATTAACATCTATGGTTATCTCTTTTACAGCACACAATTTCAAACATCGGTTAACACCTACAATTCGAACGAGAGATGTCGCCATTGTTATTTGAAATTAAAATGTTTATAGTGCTAATCTAAAGTTGAAACATTAAAATTTGTATAAAAAATGGACGAAAAGAATGAACATTAGTATCTCAGTTTAATAATGACGCCTATCTTTATTATGTCTCAAATTGAAATATCTTTATTCTATGTAGAAGCATTACACTTACTTAATGAATGTCAAAAAACACTACTATTGGTCCGGGAAAACCCCATAACTTGAGAAGAGCCTGCGAAAGACATTCAGCGGGACAATTTTTAACATAATTTGACAAAAAAAACATGTAAATAATATATTAAATCAAACCAGACTGTTATCATTTATTTATTTATTTATTTTATTATACTTCATTGTTACACCTTAGACTAAAGGCTACAATGGGCGGACTTAATGCCTAGTGGCATTCTCTACCAGTCAACCCTTGTCATGGTGAGAAGTAGATGACAGGTGCTAAAACTAAAGTAAATAAAAGTAGGAAAATCTATACATAAAAATCAAATTAAATATAATGTGTGGATATACATGAATATGTATATGAATATTATTAATCATAAACTACATATATATGACATACATATATACATATGTATGGATGAATATATACATAAATATACATACATGTATATATATATATATATATATATATATATATATATATATATATATATATATATATATATATATATATACACATAAATATTGTAGATGTACATATATGGATAATAAAAACCGAGCATGGGATAAGCCAAACAAAATCACTGATTTAATAGGTATTCTCGAACTAACTTTTTAAATGTATATTTATTTGGAGCTATTTTGATCATTAAATAATATAATAATAATGTACTAACTGTGATACGACATTTGCATAAATACTTTCAAATATTTATGCTCCGT